ACTGTCTTCTGATTGTTTTAAAGATCAGGGCTAATGATGAAAAATGATCAACTATAAAAGGAGGAACCGATGTACGAAAAGTGGGGAGAATTAAGCGGGACGGTGACCCTGAGTTGGGATCACATGGGTCCCTGTGCACATTCAGAGCCCCGCCACTCCCAGGGTCCACCCCATTACAGGAGGAAACGCAGGTGTCCTGACCCGCGAGCAGGGCCCTGGGGCCTGTCGCTCCCCGTCTTCGTGGAGGAACGACACAGGACCCTGCGCTGTTCTTTTGTCTGCTCGGCCCTCCCCGGGTTTGCTGCTGGTTCTTCCCGGGTTGGCTACCGACCCTTCCACCTCCGTGGAAGGGCGGTTCCCCCTGCCACTTTCCCCACTTCCGCGGGGGAGCGGCACACCGCCGGCCGGCTCTCTCGGGGGCTGCACAGGTGTTCCCCTTAGATGTTCCTGGTGCATGTTGTCTCTCTCCTCCTTTATAGTCCTCTTCCACCAATCCCAACTCTGCTACCCACACGCCGAGTACGCTGCTCTCCTCCAATCAGGAGCAGGTCCTGCTGTTTATTGGTTGAACTGGAGGCAGCTGTGTAGAAGCTGTTTCCTCCTCTCCCAGCGCCATACTGTGGGAGAGCAGATGCATAGAATAAGTCTTAATTCCAGTAACAGTCTAGTCCGAGTTGCTCCCCACAGGGGCCCTGGGGGACAGAGGCTGTCCAAGCCCCGCCCTGACTGCTCCAGTCTTCTCCACGAAAGAGGAGGGGATAATCTAGATCAGAGAAGGGCTCCCCAGCTTGAATAAGGCAGGAACGCGTCCCCCAAGTCTCAGGGCTGGAGGCGTGGTCCCCACTGGGGTGAGGGTAGCAGGTGCTGGGACCTTAAGCTGATGAAGGCACTAGGGGCTGCCCCAGAAGGGATTCAGTAGTCTTGGGGTGCCCTCAATAGCTCCCAAGTTATAAAAAGGACGGGGCCGGCTGTGGGGAGCAACTCGGACTAGACTAAGTTACTGGAATTAAGACTTATTCTATGCATCTGCTCTCCCACAATATGGCGCTGGGAGAGGAGGAAACAGCTTCTGCACAGCTGCCTCCAGTTCAACCAATAAACTGTAGGACCTGCTCCTGATTGGAGGAGAGCAGCGTGCTTGGCGTGTGGGTAGCAGAGTTGGGATTGGTGGAAGAGGACTATAAAGGAGGAGGGAGACAACATGCACCAGGAACACCTGAGGAACATCTGAGCAGCCCCCGAGAGAGCCGGCCTGCGGTGTGCCGCTCCCCCCGCGGAAGTGGGGAAAGTGGCAGGGGGAACTGCCCTTCCACGGAGGTGGAGGGGACGGTAGCCAACCCGGGAAGAACCAGCAGCAAACCCGGGGAGGGCCGAGCAGACAAAAGAACAGCACAGGGTCCTGTGTCGTTCCTCCACGAAGACGGGGAGCGACATAATGGTGCCGTGACTCGGATAGGAAGCCTAGGCAGGGTTTAGTGTCGTTCCTCCACGAAGAGGGGGAGCGACAGCCGGCCCTTCCCTGCCCTCTGGCTTCCTGCCTCCTGCCTCACTGTGTGATCTCTCTCCCATGGGCTGCAGCCACGAGGGCCTCACCAGAGGCTGGACCAGTGGGGCCACTCGATCTTGGACTTGGAATCTCCAAACTGAAAGGAAACCTCTTTTCTCTGGACCTGACTCAGCCTCAGGTACTTGATTTAACAAAGGAAAATCGACTAATGTAGCACCTTCGTTTCTGATCACTAAAAACTGCCAAGGGGCGGGGCTGCGGCAGGACAGGTCGGGCCACTGCTTAAGACACCCACATCCTATATTGGAGTGCCTGGTTCAGGTCCCGCCCACTACTCCCGGCTTCTGACCCAGCCCCCTGCTAGTGTGCCTGGGAAGGCACCCATGCCACCCAGTGGGAGACTCAATCAGATGGAGCTCCTGGCTTCTGGCTTTGCCCTGGCCCAGCCCTGGCTGGTGCAGTCATTTGGGGAGTGAGCCAGCAGATGGAAGATCCCCTCTCTCTTATTCTGACTTTCAAATAAATAAAGCTTAAAAAAAAAAGAGGACTCACTGTGGCCAAACCGGGAATGATCTCAGGGTGGGGTTAGCCTGAGTCACAGCCAGAACAGTCGGTCTGCAGCCTTGGCCTGCAGGGACAAACCTCAGGTCACCTGATGTTCCCCTAGCAGGTGACTGCTTTTTTTTTTTTTTCTTTTAAGATTTACTTGAAAGTCAGAGTTACAGAGAAAGGGGGAGAGGCAGAGAGAGAGATTTTCCATTTGCTGGCTCACTCCCCAGGCCAGGACAAAGCCAGGAGCCAGGAGCTTCTTCCAGGTTGCCCACCTGGGTGGCAGGGGCCCAAGCACCTGGGCACATTAGCAGGGAGCCGGCATGGAAGTGGAGCAGCTGGGACTCAAATCAGAGTCCATATGGGACGCCACAGGCCGCGGCTAAGCCACAGAGCCCCAGCAGGTGTCTTTAATCCTGAGGTTAGGCTTTAACAATGATCGTTAAAAAGTACAAACAATGTGTGGGCTGTAAACTGAGCTTTAAAATTTAAGTTAAGCTATTCAGTTTACTATTGCAAGGTAGATGCTGTTTAAGACAAACAAACTGCAAAAAGTCACTTTTGTGCACAAAATTTGCTCTCAAAAAGACCAGCACCATCGCTGAGGCATCCACATTTTTTTTTTTTTTTTTTTTTTTTTTTTTTATTTAAAAGGCAGAGAGACAGAGACACACACAGAAAGGTCGTCCATCCACTGGTTCACTCCCCAAATGCCTGCAACAGCTGGGCCTGGGGCAGGCCGAAGCCAGGAGCCTGGATTTCATGCTGGGACTCCCACATGGGTGACAGGGACCCAAGTACTTTAGCCATGGCCTGTTGGGGTGACAACGTTGCAAGTGACAGCTTAACCTGCTATGCCACAATGCCAGCCCCTGGTCTTCTCTTAAAGAAATTATTCATTTATTTAGCCGGCGCCGCGGCTCACTAGGCTAATCCTCCGCCTAGCGGCGCCGGCACACCGGGTTCTAGTCCCGGTCGGGGCGCCGGATTCTGTCCCGGTTGCCCCTCTTCCAGGCCAGCCCTCTGCTGTGGCCAGGGAGTGCAGTGGAGGATGGCCCAGGTGCTTGGGCCCTGCACCCCATGGGAGACCAGGAAAAGCACCTGGCTCCTGGCTCCTGCCATCGGATCAGCGCGGTGCGCCGGCCGCAGCGCGCCGGCCGCGGCGGCCATTGGAGGGTGAACGAACGGCAAAGGAAGACCTTTCTCTCTGTCTCTCTCTCTCACTGTCCACTCTGCCTGTCAAAAAAAAAATAAAAAAAAAAAAAAATAAAAAAAAAAAAGAAATTATTCATTTATTTGAAAGCCAAAGAAGCAGAGAGAAAGACAGACGGACAGACAAGAGAGCTTCCATCTGCTGGCTTACTCCCCAAATGCTGGCAATGGCTGGGGCAGGGCCAGGATGGACCCAGGAGCTGGAATTCACTCCAGGTCTCCCACCCGGTATCAGGGACCCAACTGCTTGAACCATCACCTGCTTCGTCCCAGGGAGCTGGAATCGGGATCGGAGCTAGGACTGCCAAGTACTAGGTGCTCCGATACAGGCCATGAGCATGGCGAGTGGCATCTTCACTACACCCGCCCCACGAGTCCTCTTTTATAATCTCTGTACCATTAAGAACTCCAGATGGGGTAGGATGACAGCCCATGTCCCCTGGGACCGAGTGACCTAATTGTCCCACCTGAAACTTGCAAAGCTCCCCTGCCCCCACCCCCATTTCCCCACCACTGGATTGGACCCTAAGGACTGCCTGCTTTTGTTCTGAATTTATGTTCACAAACCTGTATCTGTGTTTGTTCTGAATTTATGTTCACAAACCTGTATCTGCGTGTTCCTACCTCTCGACAGGAGCAGGGCAGGACAGGACCACCGTTTCCATGGCATTGGATTCTTCCCCTGGCTCAAAAGCTCCAGCAGCAAAATCTGGCGGAAGGACTCCCGCAGGCGGGGGTGAGCCGCAGAGGTGACGGCTGAGCAGAGGAGAGCATGCGTTCTGCAGCCAGGCTGCACCCAGAGGTGCCCGGCGGGGAGACTCGGGCCAGTCTTACTTCCCTGATGCCTCAGTCTCCCCATCCATAAAATGGAAGTGAAATTGGGGATTTGTGTGTGGGAGAGGGGCTATGAGAGAGAGGAGTGGGCAGAAGTCTGCTGTGCTAAGCAGGAAGAAGGGGTGGCTGCCTCGGGCCGTGGATGTGCCGGAAGGAAGCACAGTGGGGAGGGTGCCTGCTCGTCACTCAGGATCTGGTGACTCTGAACTTGGGGCAGACACAGGAGGTGCGCAGTTAAATGGGGCTGATCCTAGCCGCGTCCCCGCTGGGTGGCGGTGAGGTAAACCCCTCGGCACAGAAGCCAGCACGCCAGAGGCCCACGGGAAGCGCCAGCTCCTGTTGTGACCACCACTGTCGTCATCTCTTCGGGGACTGGACCTGCTGACTTCCAGGCTTGCCCAAGCGCCAGGCTGGGCGCCGAGCCCTGGGAACCACGGACAGAAAGACGTCATCCGCCGAGCCTTCCGGAAAATAGCACAGCGGCCAATGTGCACCTCCTGCTGAAGTCCCTGGTGTCGGTGCTGTGGAAGACGCCCAAGGCTCAGGCCCCTGGGAAGGAGCCAGCCCTGGTCACGCTGGCCCGGAACCCCGGGATGACCAGGTCAGATGCAGACAGGCCGGCAGGGCTGAGGGGTGGGGGCGTGGGCCCGAGGCTATCAGGTAGAAAGGCCCTGCAGGGAGTTCTCAGAGGGCCAATCAGAGGCAGCGCAGCTCCACCTGGGTTTGTGATGCGTTCCCTGGCTCAGTCCTCTTTTTATTCAAGTGACCCATTTTCCCGGCCTCCTGGACCCACACACTGCATGTTGCTGCACTTTGCATGTGGGCTGTCTTCTCGGCTGACGGGTTCCTGGTGCTACCACAGCGAGCCCCAGGGGGCCTGGAAGAGCCCATGGGAAAATGGGATTAAAAGCTGAGTTTATTTTGGTGCGGAAAAGCCAAATGGAAGTCCGTGCAGAGGTTTCTCACGAACTTTCGGAAGCTGCCTGGCCGGGGGCGGGGCTAGGCAAGTAACTGTTGGGCGATGCTGGACAAACGGCTGGACCCCAGGCCTGTGCAGAACACGGTCCCCGGGGCAGCAGTGTGCTCCACGGGCGAGGGCAGTCCAGGAAGAGGCCAGGGCCTGGCTCCCTGCCGCCCCGGACAATCTGGAGCAAAGAGCGTCCAGGCACGACGGACAGCCGTGGAGAAGCGGCCATGCTGTGCAAAATGAAGGCAGCAAGCTGTGACACTGTGTGCAGAATTCCACTACTGAAACCCTAACGCCCCGGTTCCTCGTTCACTCCACACACACACACACACACACACATTTTTTTTTTTTTTTTTTTTTGGACAGGCAGAGTTATAGGCAGTGAGAGAGACAGAGAGAAAGGACTTCCTTCCGTTGGTTCACTCCCCAAATGGCTGCTACAGCCGGTGCTGCGCCAATCCGAAGCCAGGAGCCGGGTGCAGGGCACAAGCACTTGGGCCATATTCCGCTGACCTCCCGGGCCACAGCAGAGAGCTGGACTGGAAGAGGAGCAACCGGGACAGAATCCGGTGCCCATATGGGATGCCAGCGCCGCAGGCAGAGCAGCAGAGGATTAACCAACTGAGCCACACCGCTGGCCCCCCTTTTTTAAGACATTTATATATTTGGAAGGCAGAGTGACAGAGAGAGAGAAAGAGAGAGGTAGGTATCTTTCACCTCACCTGCTGATTTACTCCCCAAATGGCTGCACGACCCGCAAACTCCATCCAGGTCTCCCACGAGGGTGCAGGGGCCCAAGCACTGGGTCCACCTGCTGCTTTCCCAGATGCATTAGCAGGGAGCTGGATGGGAAGTGGAACAGCTGGGACTTGAGCGGGTGCCCGCATGGGATGCCGCGTCACAGGTGGTGCCTTCAACCGCCAGGCCAGATAATTCACTTTTTTTTTTTTTTTTTTTTTTTTGACAGGCAGAGTGGACAGTGAGAGAGAGAGACAGAGAGAAAGGTCTTCCTTTGCTGTTGGTTCACCCTCCAATGGCCGCCGCGGCTGGCACGCTGTGACCGGCGCCCCGCGCTGACCCGATGGCAGGAGCCAGGTACTTATCCAGGCCATCCTCCACTGCACTCCCGGGCCACTGCAGAGAGCTGGCCTGGAAGAGGGGCAACCGGGACAGAATCCGGCGCCCCGACCGGGACTAGAACCCGGTGTGCCGGCACCGCCAGCCTCACTTCTTAAGTTTATATGCTGAGCACTGCTGGGGCCTGGACCAGGTGCCAGGGATTTAAGGTTTGCATGACGAGGCCCCACCGCTGACTGACAAGCAGATCTGGGCAGGCTCTGAGTAGAGCGGATGATCCTCGGGCGGCCTCCTGCCGTCAGCTGAAGGCCTTAAGACAAAAACGCCCAAGGACAGAGCTCCGCCTCCCAGCCACCCTGGGTCCCAGCCCCAGGATGCTCCCTCCCCGGCTCCACCTGCCAGCCCGGCCTGCAGGCTCTGGGCTCGCCAGGAGCCACGATCGGATGAACCAGTTCTTTACACACACCTGCCCCCTGCACTGTTCCCGCTTCTGGCAGAGCCCTGACTCAGGCTCACGCCTGTTCTCCGGCTCCCAGAAGCGGAGCCAAAGCCCACCCCTCAGCAGACCCCGGAGGGTTCTTTTTGTAGCTTTATAATCAAGACCCACTGTAAATTCTCGAATGAGAGCAGGGAAAGTCAATTCAAGTTCACATTCCTCTTTGGGCCTCGGAAGGCAAGGGTGGTGAAAGCCTGGGAGAGGCCCCACCCATCCCCCTCAGGGTCCACAGATGCCCTGCCCCTCCCCCAGCCTGAAGCACCACTGGCCCCTAGCGCTCTCACATGAAGTTGTTTTTTTTTTTTTTTTAAACATTTATTTACTTGAAAGGCAGAGTTATATATACAGAGAGATCACCCATCCACTGGTTCACTCCCCAAATGGCCGAAATGGCTGGGGCTGGGCCAAGCTGAAGCCAGGAGCCTGGAGCTCCATCCAGTCTCTCACGTGGGTGCAGGGGCCCCAGGGCTTTGGCCATCCTCTGCTGCTCTCCCAGCTGCAAGGGCAGGGAGCTGAACTGGAAGAGGGGCTGCTGGGACTTGAACCTGTGCCTACACGGGATCCTCAGTGCACTGCACCACAATGCCAGCCCCTCCCCTTCCCTTCCCCCAAATTCCTTAAGGGAATTGTTTTTTAAAAAGATTTTGAGAGGCAGAGTTACAGAGAGAGGACAGAAAGGTTTTCTATGCACTGGTTCACTCCCCAAGTGCTGCAACAGCTGGAGCTGGGTCGTTCTGAAACCAGGAGCTCCATCTGGGTCTCCCACGTGGGTGCAGGGGCCCAAGGACTTGGGCCATCCTCTGCTGCTTTCCCAGGCCACAGCAGAGAGCTGGATTGGAAGTGGGGCAGCCGGGACTGGAACCGGCGCCCATATAGGATGCCTGCTCCCTGCTTGCACACGTCCTGCATAGCAGCAGCTGATGACCCAAGTGTCTGGTCCCGCCGTCCAAGGGGGAGACCTGGATTCAGTTTCTTGCTCATGGTCTGGGCCTGGCCCAGCCCAGGCTATTATGGGTATCTGGGAGTGAAGCAGCAGACAGATGCTCTATCTCTGTGCTTCTCAAGTAAATACAAGTTCAGGGCTGGCACGTGCTACAGTGGGTGATGCTATGGCCTGCAGCGCCAACACAGGCACCCCGTGGGCCCTGGTTCGTGTCCCAGCTGCTCCACTTCCATCCAGCTCCCTGCTAATGGCCTGGGAAGAGCAGCAAAGATAGCCCAAGTGTCTGGGCCCCTGCCATCCATGTGGGAGACCTGGATGAAGTCCCTGGCTCCTGGCTTCAGCCTGGCCCAGCCCTGGCCACCGTGGCCATGTTGGGAGGGAACCACTGGATGGAAGCTCTGACTCGCCATCTCGCTCTAGATCTTTTCCAAACAAATACATAAATCTTAAGTAAAAAAAAAAAAAAGGCACAAAAAGCTTTGAAATCCAGTTTTCTCATAACACTTCCTGTAAACTATTTTTTTTAAAGATTTGTTTGTTTGAAAGGCAGAGTTACAGAGATCTTCCTTCTGCCAATTCACTCCCCAAATGGAAACGATGGCCTGAGCTAGGCCGGGCCGAAGCCAGGAGCCAGTTTCATCCAGGTCTCCCTCATGGGTGGCAGGGGCCCAGGCATGTGGGCCATCTGCTGCTGCTGTCCCAGGCGCACTAGCAGGGAGCTGGTTAAGACATGGAGCAGGGAGGCGGCACTGTGGCAAGGCAGGTAAGGCCACCGCCTGTAGTGCCGGCATCCCATATGGGCACCGTTTCAAGTGCTGGCTGCTACACTTCGGATCCAGCTCTCTCTGCTGTGGCCTGGGAAAGCAGTGGAAGATTGTCTGAGTTGTTGGGACCCTGCACCCACTTGGGAGACCTGGAGGACGATCCTGGCTCCTGCCTTCAGATCAACGCAGCTCTGACCATTGCGACCAGTTAGGGAGTGAGCCAGTGGATGGAGGACCTCTCTCTCTGCCTCTCCCAACTCTGCCTTTCAAAGGAAGGAAGGAAGGAAGGGGGGGGGGGAGGAAGGAAGAGGGAGGGAGGAAGAGGAAGGAAGAGAAAAAAAAAGAAATGGAGCAGCCAGCACACAAACCAGCGCCCAGATGGATGCCAGCATCGCAGGCAGAGGCTGAACTTGCTCCACCGCAATGCTGGCCCCCTTTGCAAACTTTAAGACACTCTAGGACACCCCCACTGCCCACCCTTTCGGGCTGGCTATCCTCATTTTAAAAAAACAATTATGGGGGCCGGCGCTGTAGCACAGGGGGTTAAATCCCTGGCCCGAAGCGCCAACATCCCATATGGGCGGCAGTTGAGTCCTGGATGCTCCTCTTCCGCTCCAGCTCTCTGCTGTGGCCTGGGAGAGCAGTGGAAGATGCCCACGTCCTTGGGCCCTGCACCCGCGTGGGAGACCCAGCAGCTCCAGCTGCTGCAGCCATCTGGGGAGTGAACCAGTAATGGGAGACCTCTCTCTGTCTCTACCTCTCTGCAGCTCTTTCAAATAAATAATCTTTTTTTTAAAAAAACCAATTATGTATTTGCTTGAAAGGCAGAGATACCTTCCACGTGCTGGCTCCCCCAATGTCCACACGGCAGGGCTGGACCTCGCTGAAGCCATATGGGTGGCCGGGGCCCAAGTATTTGGGTCATCTGCCGCTGCTTTCCCAGGTGCATTAGGAGGGAGCTGCATAGGAACTGGAGCAGCCAGAACTTGAATTGGCACCCTGACAGGGGATGCTGGTGACACAGCGGTGGCTTAATCCACCGCGCCAGAACAATGGCCCCTACCCGCCCTTAAATGGGCTCCCCAGGAGCCACCAATGCTCCTCCCAACGACGGCCCCTATTTTGCCTCTGGGAGGTTGTTTCGTCAGGTGATCTTTTTCTCTATCAATAGAATTTTTTATCTTTTTTAATTAGATTTTTTTTTGACAGACTGGACAGTGAGAGAAAGGTTTTCCTTTTGCTGTTGGTTCACCCTCCAATGGCCGCCGCACCGCACTGATCCAATGGCAGGAGCCAGGTGCTTCTCCTGGTCTCCCATGGGGTGCAGGGCCCAAGGACCTGGGCCATCCTCCACTGCACTCCCTGGACACAGCAGAGAGCTGGCCTGGAAGAGGGGCAACCGGGACAGAATCCGGTGCCCCGACCAGGACTAGAACCTGGTGTGCCGGCGCCGCAAGGCAGAGGATTAGCCTAGTGAGCTGCGGCGGGGGCCGAATTTTTAATCTTTTAAAGACTTATTTATTTGAAAGTCAGAGTTATAGAGGGAGAAACAGAGACCTTCCACCTACTGGTTCACTCTCCAGATGGCCACAACTGCCCAATTTGGGCCAGGCTGAAGCCAAGAGCCAAGAACTTCCTCCGGGCCGGGTGGCAGGGGCCCGAGCACTAGGGCCATCCTCCACTGCCTTCCCAGGAGCATTAGCAGAGAGCTGGATCAGAAGCGGAGTGGCGGGGATGCAAACTGGCACCCATATGGGACGCCAGCATCGCAGGCGGCGGCTTTACCCGCAACACCAGCTCCTCGAAAGAGTATTTTCTAAGAACAGCCGTGTACAGAAACACAAGGGTAGTACCGAGAATTGTCTCCCAGATGTTATTAACATATTGGGTTAGTACAACTCTTAGAATTCACTGTACGTTTTTATTAACCAAAGTCCACAGTTTACTTAGATTCAGTGTCTCCCACGTCCTGCTGCTGCTCCAGGAAGTCGTCCAGGAGACCACGGGCCACACGGTCGTCCCATCTCTCCACGCCCTGCCTGGCGGGGGCGCCGTCTCAGGCTTTCCCTGCTTTTCAGGACCTGGGCAGTTCTGAGTGCAGCTGAGGTGTTTTGTAGGGTGCCCCAGTGTGGGAAGTCCCTGCCGTTTTTTTCGTGGTGAGACTGGGGTGATGGGTTTTCGGGACAGAGGTCACGGCGGCAAAGGGCCCATTTCATCACACGCCGTCAGGTGCACACTGTCGGCGTAGCCATGGCTGCTGAGCTTCACCTGGCTCCCTGCCTGAGGGCTGCTTGCTCCTGGCTCACTTTTATGCCGGAGAAACAAGAGGTGTTGGACCACAGGCCTCACTGCCAGTGACCACCCTGGCTTGTAGGCCACTGCTTTGAAAGAGGTGGCCACAGGGGCTGGCGCTGTGGCACAGCGGGTAAAGCCACTGCCTGTGGTGCTGGCATCCCATGCAGGCACCGGTTCAAGTCCTGGCTGGTCCTCTTCCGATCCAGCTCTCTGCCAAGGCCTGGGAAAGCCCCTGCACCAGCGTGGGAGACCCGGAAGAAGCTCCAGGCTCAGAGAGCACCTGTGATGGAGCAGGTGCCGGTACAGCTCGCACATGACTTCCCGTGTACCCACGCAAGATGGGCGAAACCACTTTTCCCATTTTATGGCTCAGGAAGCTGCGTTTCCAGGCCTCACAGCTGCTCCGGGCCTCGGGCAGCCCTGGAGGGCTCTGCGGGGAGCCGAAAGAGCCGTGGCGCCTGTGGCCTCCGTTACTGTGGGCACAAGTGTGGCCGAGAGACACTCCAGTGCTGCCCCTCCGAGAAGCTGCAGCTCTGGTCACAGGCCCGTACTCAGGGGCCACCCTCCACCGCCCTCCCCGGCACACTCAGGAAGCTAACCGCTGCTCCACTTGGGGACGCCAGTGTCCCAAGCATTCGCCAGCTGCGCCACACCAGCCCCACATCTCCTACGTTTTCTGCTACTACCGTGTAGCTAAGAACATCTGCAGCCTGTAACTTGCTATAACCACGCTGGACCCTGAATCCGGAGGGAACCTGCTGGATCCTGCGGCAGGAACTCTAGGTTCTGAGTCTCGATACAGAGTTCCTGCCACCCTTTTCCACCCCACCCCACCCCCACGCCTGGGGCCGTCTTCTCCTTCCTTTTCCCACTCTGAACGCCGAGTGGGGTCATCTCGCTTCCACCCGCCTTTCATCGTGAGGGAGGTGAGCGCCGTTGCCGGCTCGCCGGCCGCTGGAGTGCTTTCGACCCCGCACACTTCAGATCATTTCCCAGTCTTCCTCCCGCTCCCTAGCTCTCCCCTCCTAAGGGTACCGGCGTTTGTCGCCGTGTCACTCACTCCTCGTCTGTCCCTCCACACGGAGCTGGGACCTTCCGCCTCGTGTCGCGTGGAAAAGCCCCCCCAGGCTCCCCCCCGGCAGCTGTCAGCTCCCCCTCGCGGACACTGAGCCTCTACCCACCTAATGCCCCCCACGGCTCTCCTGCCCCACGGCGGAGCTGGGGCCCTCGGAGTCCCAGGCACGGCCTGGACTGGGGAGCTGCTGGCTGCCCTGCCCTGCCCTCAAGTTCTTCTCCAGCTCTGCCGCCACGCGGGGGGCCGCGGCCTGGACGGCGTCCTGGATGCTGTGCAAGTCCCACTGGGACCTGAGGAGGGCATCGTCCAGCGTGAAGAGGCCATCGCGCGTGCGCCGCACTTGCGAGCAGACGGCAGTGGTCCTGAGCTCCAGGCCGATCTCGTGCACCAGCCTCCGCAGCTGCTGCTGCGTCTCGTGCACGCACTGCACCTCTGCCGGGGACACACAAGGACACGGCCGTCAGAGGCACGGCCCCTGGGCGCTTCCTGTCGGGCCCACACCTCTGGGACACCTCCCAGCTGAGGGACAGCCTCCACGGGGAGCCTCGGTCAGACCAGCAGGGCCTCGGGCCCCGCCCACACCTGCTGGGCCAACAAGAGCTGGGTGCAGGTTTGGGGAGTACAGCTCTGACACTTGGTTTGCTCACTGTAAAACGAGGGCTGTGAGGCATCGAGACCATTTAAGAGGTGCAGGGACTCCTTAACGTGAGCCCGAGGACAAAGGTATGCGCAGACAAAGGGAGCAAATGCCCTGGGGCCGAGCCAGGTGGGGCCGAGCCAGGTGGGGCTGGGGAGCCAGCGTGTTGCTTGAGGGGCTTAGGTCATAAGCTCTGCGTGTCAACGTCCCGCGTGGATGCCTTGGCAGGAGACTGGCCACGTCTGCGCAGGGTCAGGAAGCAAGCTGGCCCCCAAAGCCGCGGTCGGCAGCCATCAGGGCTGGCGCGTGCAGTCCCGGTGTGGCAGAGCACGGCACGGCGACTCCCCCGCCCCAGGGGCCCCTCCTCACCGCTCCAACTTCCCGGGGAACTCACCTAAGAGGAATTCTGGGGGTGCAAAGTGCAGGCACCGGATGCCAGTGACCAGCATTGGGGACTTGCTCATGGGCCGGATCGTGCCCTGCACAGCCATCTCGTAGGCCTCCTGGGACTGCAGGTCCAGGCTGGAGTACCTGGGCAGGAGGGGCCCGTGGTCCATGGGGGGCGGGGAGCTGCCCATTCATGACGGACGCCTCCCATCCACCCCATGGCCCCTGCGTCCCTGCCTCCAGCGGACGCCTCCGTCCACCCCATGGCCCCTGCGTCCCTGCGCCTCCAACAGACGCCTCCGTCCACCCCACGGCCCCTGCGTCCCTGCCTCCAGCGGATGCCTCCCATCCACCCCACGGCCCCTGCGTCCCTGCCTCCAGCCTCCACTGGCAGCCTCCCCTGGCAGCCTCCTGTCCACTCCACGGCCCCTGCGTCCCTGTGCCTCCAGCGGACGCCTCCGTCCACCCCACGGCCCCTGCGTCCCTGCCTCCAGCCTCCACTGGCAGCCTTCCTCCACCCCACGGCCCCTGCATCCCTGCCTCCAGCCCCCACTGGCAGCCTTCCTCCACCCCACAGCCCCTGCGTCCCTGCCTCCAGCGGACGCCTCCGTCCACCCCACGGCCCCTGCGTTCCTGCCTCCAGCCCCCACTGGCAGCCTCCTCCACCCCTCCAGTCCTGCCGCACAGCCCTGGCCTCAGCCGTCACCAACGCCGACGACTCCAGACGCTCTCCCGGGACTGGGTGCCCAGACACCCGCAGGCACCTCTCAACACCACCAGCCTGCAGGGTACCTCGCCCCTGCAGTGCACCCACATGGCCCGTCGCACTGCCTCCGAGTCCCGCTCCAGTGCTGCTGCCCCTGGGCGGTCACGGGCCCCCTCGCAGCCTGCTCCCAGCTGCCAGCCCTCCCGCCTCGCCGGCTCCAGCCCGTGCTCCACATGGACCTCAGCTCGCGGGCATCTCAGGCCCCCGCAGGGCCCCCACTGCCTTTCACTCCTGCTGGGTCCTCACCCGTCTCTGGACACGTCTGGCTGCATCAGCCCTGACCTTTCTTAGCACAGCCTGCTCCTGCTGCCTCCCCCCCCACCCAGCCCCTGGCCAGTTTCCTGCTGACCGCTTCGATGGCACGCCCGAGGGCGCTTTCTCTGGTCACAGCAGGATCGCCGGCCGCGGGCGGCTGCTCCACGCGTGTCACCCCGTACCCAAGGTCACTGCTGCGTCCCGTCTGACCCTGTGGAGCCCTGACACCTGTCTGTACGGCAGGGGCTCTCTCTGTGCCCAGTCTATTTTCACCTTTAAAAGGTTTTGTGTTTTTTTTTCCCGGTTTTGATTTTTCTTTCTTAAACTTGCTTTGCTTTCTCTGTGCTGAGTCTGTAGATGAGGAACGTGAGGCCCCTACCTGAGGCTCACCGCTGCAGCCTGGAAAGCCGGGGCCCACGCAGGCTGCAGCCAGGGCCCAGGCTCTCGGCCACCTCTGCTCCTGTCCTCCACCCCCGGCTCTGACTACAATGACAGATCCTTGGTTTCCCGTCTGTTGGCTCACCCACTCGTGGGGCCAGCCCAGGTCTCATTCCCTCCCTTTCCCCAGTGCCCAGCCCAAGGTCTGGTACAGACACGTCTGCAGGCCCTGGAGGGACTGGGCAGCTCTATCCTGGCACCGGGATTCCTGGAATGGGCCCTGGGGTGGGCAGAGCCCACAGAGCCCCTCTTGCTCCCCACCCCAGCACCTCCCCGAGCGCCCCACTTACATCACCAGGGCCTTCTGATGGGAGCCTTGGATCACGGCCAGGATCCGGTCCAGCTTCTCCCTGCTCACGTGGTCTGCAGAGGGCAGAGGTGGTCAGTGCACAGGTGCCGGCTGAGCAGGGGCCACAGCAACCTGGCGCTCTTCCCCAGCCAGCCCATCCTTGGAGGCCGGCGCAGGTAGGTTTGGGAGGGTTCCCAGGCGGGGCCGGGGGAGTCCTCGGTGAATCTCAGGAGAACTCTGGATTCTCTGCGCAGACACACGTCAGCTCAGCACTTTGAGAACCTTTCAAGCAGCTCAGAGCCCCTGAGGTCATCCGGACTTCCGGTCAAGGACGGGTGCAAAGAGGTACTGGACTTGCCCAGGCCTTGTAGGCCCCAGTCTGGGGTTCTCCGTGCAGGGACCCCGGAGGAGGGAGTGGCTCTGCCTGTGGGGCCCACTGAGGACTGCCGCAGCCCAGCCCATGCACCTGAACTTCTGCCAGGATCCCTGGGCCCTGCTGGGGCAGGTGCCACCGTCCAGAGCCCTGGGAGCGGGCCTGGGACAAGGACTGCGCAGCCTGGAAGGCCCCAGGCCTCTCGCTCCTTTGTGGCTTCACTCATGCTGTCCTGTCGAGTCCTGCCACTGCCTTTCCCAGCCCTCCTGAAGCACGGCTTCTGTGTGCTGCCTCCGGCCACTCTGGCCTAGCACTGCATTTTCCTTGTTTTTGGTTATGTGTGACTACTGCTTTACAAAGCTCAGAGCAGCGCCTTTCCCCAGCCCTTCAAATCCTGGGCTCCTCCCTCCTGGAAGTGTGACCAGAGGGAAGCACCCGATCCCAGGCCTCACGGGCGACAGACTCACACCGGTCCCCGGGCGGGTACTATGCTGAGCCCAGCGGAGCAGCTCGGGGGCTGGCGGGGCTTCCCTGGGGAGGTGACACTGAGCCAGGTGAGGAGAGAGCACACAACGCGTCCAAAGCCCCAGCCTGAGCCTGGCGCCTCGGCGATAACTAACAGGCAGCCAGAGTGGCCCGGCGAGGGCGAGGAATGAGGGGCAGCAGCAGCCACCCCTCCACCCCACCAGGCTCCCACGGGCCCTCACCGTAGGTCGTCTTCTCCACTAACCGCCCATCCTCGCAGAAGTCGTCCGTGGCTTTGCCCAGGAGGCCGCGTACGGTATAATCCTGCGGGGACAGGGCGGGGAGGAGCCAGTGAGGACCGCTGCTCTGACCCAGTGCTGAGACCTGGCCACAGCCCGTGCCTCGGGCGCTCACGTGCCCAGCCCAGCCCAAGCTGCCCCACTGCCCCCTGGGAAGGAACGCTGGCCCCACTGCGTGGCATGGGCCACTCTCTGGAGCTCTCCTCCATGACCTCGGACAGAGACAGGGCCACGTGCACGGTGCCGCTGTCCGGATCCAGTGTGGGGCTCCCGAGATCCCTGGCTGGGGCGGGAGTCTGGGCAGTGACCAGGCTACCGCGTCAGATGCCACACCCCGTGCTGCAGTGCCTGCTCCCCGTTCCAGCTTCCTGCCGACGCACCCTGGAAGACAGCGGTGATGGCTCGAGTGCCGGGTCCCTGCCACCCACGTGGGACACCTGGCTGGAGCATCAGGCTCCTACCTTCAGCCTGGCCCCGTCCTAGCTGATGCAAGCATTTGAGACGGGAACCAGCAGATGGGAGATCTATCTGCCTCTCTCTTTCAGGTAAAATTTCAAAGGTGGCTGACGACAAACACAGGCAGCCTGCACAGCCGCCTGCGACCCTGCCCCCTGGAGCCCTTCCACTCCAGCTGCACCGCGCCCGCCTCCCCTCAGGCCCTGCCGCTTCTCTCCACCCGAGCTCTCAAGGCCCAGAGGAAACCCTTCCTCCACTGTTCCGAGGGACTTCTCTGCCTCCAACTCTGCAGAGCTAACCCTGGTAATGGTGGCATTTAGTGACCACCTACTGTGTGCCACAGACCGAGCCAAGCACCTCACAGGCACCGGTTAACCCAACCTTCACCGCACCCTAGAGGGAGACTGCCGTTCCCATGTCAGAGACAGGGAGGCCGGGGCACGGAGACGTTAGTGACCCACCCAAGGATATGCGCTGGCAGAGCAGAAGCTGGGTTGGAACTGAAGCCATTTGGATCCAGAATTTGCACCTTTTTTTTTTTTTTTTAATTATTTCAAAGTTAGAGTTAGAGAGAGAGAGGAGAGAGAGACAAAGAGAGATCTTCCACCTGCTGGTTCACTCCCTGAATGGCCGTAACAGAAGGAGCTGGGTCTCCCACACGGGTGCAGGGGCCCAAGGACTCGAGCCATCCTCCACTCCTTTCCCAGGCCACAGCAGAGAGCTGGACAGGAAGTAGAGCAGCTGGGACTTGAACCAGTGCCCATATAGGATGCCAGCACTGTAGGGGACAGCTGAACCTGCTGCAGTACAGTGCTGGCCCCCAGAGTTTGTATTTTTTTTTAATTAACTAATTTATTTGAAAGGCAGAGTTACACAGAGGCAGAGGCACAGAAACAGAGAGAAAGGTCTTCACTCCCCAGATGGCTGCAAGAGCCAGAGCTGGCCCAATGCAAAACCAGGAGCCAGGAGCTTCTTCTGGGTCTCCCACGTGGGTGCAGGGGCCCAAGGACGTGGGCCATCTTCTACTGCTTTCCCAGGCCATAGCAGAGAGCTGGATCAGAAATGGAGCAGCCGGGACTAGAACCGGTGCCCATATGGGATGCCGGCACTGCAGGCAGCGGCTGTTCCTGCTACGCCACGCGCCAGCCCCAGAATGCCTGTTCTTCATCACTAGCAATGTGGGCGGCATCCTGGTACCAGATCCCACGGCCCCACCCTAGACAGCTGCCCGAGGGCTGGAGAGTGGCGTCCACTTCTCAGGCTCGGAGAGAGTGGAAGGTGCGATTGGGCTCTGGTGTTGGACGAAGCCAGGTTCCAATGCCAGCTCTGAAGGCAGGAAGGGCTGCGGAAGCTGGGCAGGCGGCCGCCCTTCCCTGAGCCCCCGTCCTCTCACCTGCAACATGGAGTCCACAAGATTCCACTTCCCAGGGAACCTGTGCGGCTTCCAGGTGGGAAGCCACACTCTGCCCTGCGGCGAGCAGCCTGCAGTCAAAGACACCGGCAATCACGGCCACGCTGTCGCAGGCTCCCCAGCACGGGACTATGAAAACGCTCGTTGGTGGCGTCGGTGTGTCCCGTGGACTCCACCCCCAGCTTCAGAATCCCGCCAGTGACCCCCAGAGAGGACCGAGAGCAGGTGGGCTGAGCCAGCCCCGTACCTTGGTGAGATGAGCGTCGTGCATGTCGGTGAGCAGCCTGCGTCCCTGTCCGACGCCGAGCACTGAAAAGCAGCCAGCCTCATGTCACTTCCCACGGCCCCGGGACGCTCCCCTGCCGCTGGGGCAGGGGCTGTTCCCCGCAGGCCGCAGGGGAGCCCTCCTGCACCTGCGTGTGCGACCAACTGCAGGCTGCCGGGCCTCATCCGAACCGCCTCCACGTCACAGCGGGGGAGGGGGCGGGAGCCCCAGCAAGCTCCCCGGGGATTCGGATGCGCTCAGAAGTGAGAGATGCCTGGAGCGGTCCCACAGGGCTGCAGCGAAACCCGGGCAGGCTCTGGGGATAACCACAACCTCTCAGGGCTCCCCCCAGCAGAGTGGGGGTAGAAATGCCGTGTGGTCCCTGGGGCTGTTGGGCAAGGCAAAGGCGGCAGGAGGGCCTGACACCCAGGGGCCACTTCCGACCCCTCCCTCCTGCTGGAGGTCAGACTAGCCCCCATTCGCTTGTCGGGGAGGGAGGAAGGGCCATGAGGTTCCGTCTGCTGCCTGCGCCCCAAGGGGCCGCCACTGCCTGGCCGTGCGGACACAGGCAGCTCACAGCTCAGGGCGCGAGGCCGCCCTGTGACTGGATGGCAGCTTCCCCTCTTGGGTCACAGGGACATCAGTGTCCACGGGACCCGGGGGAAGACGCCTGAGCTCCTGCAGTCCGCTTCCTCCTCCGTGGCGTCACCACACTTGCCACGACTCGTCAGGCTGCTGTGGCGGGAATGGGTGCGAGGGGACTCCAAGCACCTCACGCACTGCAGTCACCTGACGGGGCGACGGTGACGCCCACCCCGACTCCCTCCCTCCTGCCGATCAGACACAAGGGGCAGGACTCGGGAAGAGGGCAACGGTGGGCGAGGAGTGGGCTGGGCCCGAACAGCTCCCCTGACCCTTCCCCGGGCCCTGCCGCACCCCGACTTCTCACATCACCTACCAAGCACCCCAGAAGCACGGGCATCCAGCCGGTGTCCCACGCCAATCTTCAGGCTGGTAAACGCTGGTCCCCGCACTGCAAGCAAGCAAACACGGCCCACTTCCTCAGCTGATCCGGACTCCAGGACGGCTCGGGGCTGCGCGATGACCGCTCTCCTCGGACGGAGTGGAACAGCGCCCGATCCAGGGCCAGGCTGCTCTCTCGGGCTCCCCTACCATCGCTCTGGAGCCCAGAACCACCTCTGTAGCTTCCCCGGGCTCATTCTCCCTGTGAGGACTGAATCTATCCCTGGGGACCAAGACTGTGGGGCTGCCCGCCCTGCCCCCACCAGGAGAGCCCTGGCCACCCTCCCAGCAAGAAAACAGAGGCTCTGAGCGCCCTGAGACAGGCCCTGGGTCTGTTCACAGTTCTACCTGCAGGGCCCAGAACTCACTGATATTCACCCCTTCAGGGTCTGGGAGGGGAACCTCAAGGCTGACTCTGCTTAAGGATTTCCGGGGAGGGGGCACCCAGGGTTCTGCTGGGCTGGAAGAGCACCTTACCCAGTGGATGCGTGGTGAGGGTGGGCACGCTGGAGGCTGTGAGGGTCAGCTCCCTGTCTTCACGGCCTTCCACAGGCCCCAGCAAGAAGCGAACACGCTTTTCAGGCGCGGGAGGCTTCCCAGCATTGAGACCTGAGCACACACAGGCGGGCGGGTGTTGTGCAGCCCACTGGGCCGCCCTCTGGGGCACCCACATCCCGTATCCGAGTGCCTGGGTCCCCGCTGCTCACTGCTTCCAATCGCTTCCTGCTAACGTGTGCACCCTGGGAGAGCGGACAAGGGCTCCTGCCACCCACAAGGGAGACAGATGAATTCCCAGTTCCCCGCTCCCGGCTCCAGCTTGGCTGCTGTGGGTATTTGGGGAGTGAACCAGTGAATGGAACAGTGATCTCTCCGTGTCACTATTTCGGATAAGTAATAAAAAAAAAAAAAAGGTATTTATTTATTTGAAAGGCAGAGTTAGAGAAAGGGAGAGAGACAGAGGTCTATCATCCGCTGGGTCACTCCCCAAATGGTCGCAACAGCCCCGGGCTGGGCCAGGCTGAAGCCAGGAGCCAGGAGCTTCTTCCGGTCTCCCACGCAGGTGCAGGCGCGCAAGCACTTGGGCATCCTCCACTGCTCCCCAGGTGCATTAGCAGGGAGCACGATCGGAAGTGGAGCAGCCGGGAATCCCACAAGCGCCCCTACAGGAGGCTGGCCCCGCAGGCGCGCCACGGCGCCAGCCCCAGTCAATCTTTGTAACAACACTGCCGATTCTGTCCAAACGCCCAGGGAAGAGAGAGCTGAGAGTGGTACAGAAGGCGGATGACAAGCCGACAAACAGGAGGAAACAGCAGTAACTTAAAAACTGACGTTGGTTCAAACCCAGTTCCCACTACTTAGCAGCCACGACAAAGTGAGGAGGAACGAAACACATAGGCAAGCGTCCACGCGGGTGGGGCACGTGACGCCGGGGGCCGAGGCGCTCACCTTTCAGCAGCTGCAGCTCCACGGTATCCCGCAGGTGCTCCCATTTTAACCCCGGGGGCTTATACACCGCGAAGAGCCCGTGCAGCCGCGCCAGGCCGGCAGTCCCCATGCCTGCACCCGCGAGCCCCAAGCCGGCCCGAAATCTGGGCTCTCGGCGGAAGTGCCGTACGGCCCCGCCCCCAAGTGTGGCCCCTACAACGGGCGCCGCCATGCTCTGCGACCGGAAGCGGTTCTCATCTTATTGTGTCCGGGTACAACACGAGGTGGAGGAGGAAGTAGGACCCGGCACGGAGCCGCAGAGCTTGCGGTGTGCCGTCTCCTTTGGAGGCACTTTCTCTGGGTGAGGTCAAATGGAGCGAGTCTTGTATCAGTGGAAGCAGGTGGTACACAGGTCGCGGGGGTATCTTTCTCATACTTAGTGAAACCCTCTTCTGTCCGTGCTACGAGGCTTCCCTTCCACAGGGCAGAGGCACTACAGGCAGCGTCGAGGCCTTTTGACCTCTCCGACGCTCCGTCCCAGCCAGGAGGTGCGTGCGTCCCGCCCCGCCCACCCGGCCGCGGACGTCCGCTGCCATGGCGACGCTGCTGCGCCGGCTGCGCGCCCAGCGCCGGCTGCCGAGCCGCTCGGCGTCCGCTGCAGGCACGTGCCGCCGGGCCCAGCTGGGGCTGCGAGAGCCCGGGGCCTCCTCTGACCGCGGCCTTTTTCTTGTCCCGCAGATGTGCCCCTCCGGGCCGGGAGCCATGGCGCCGGCCTGCTGTACCCGGACCACATTCCCACGTCCCCGCTGCAGAAGGCGCTGCTGGCCGCGGGGTCTGCCGCCATGGCGCTGTACGACCCGTATCGCCACGGTGAGGCCCTGGGCACCGTCCTCCCTTTTCCTTGGCAGCCCGGGCAGGGCCGCGACCTAGGCCTCCGTTCCCGATGGGTAGCTGGAGAATGGACTCTGGCCGGAAGTTTATACAAATGCAGGTGCCTGGTCGCTCCTTGCGTGTGAGTTAGCCTGGCAGGGAGAGGGGAGGAAGGAAGGGGCGTGGAGCCCACCAGCTGCCTTTCTCAGCTGCTTCGGGGTGCTCTGTCATCCCAGTCCGCCTGAGAACCTCAGCCACGGGGCTGGTTTTCACGGACCCACCTCGGCGACCTCGCACTAGAGAGTGAACGTGGAGGTCAAAGGCCACGCCTGGAAGAAAGGCGTTAACCTGTTCTCCACGGCGGGTGTGCCGGGTCACCTACCCGTGACTGCACTTGAACTCGCACCCAGCTCTGTGTGGCCCCAAAGCCTGTGCCGGTCGGCGGACGTGATGTCTGATAACCACTGTGCACGTGACTCGTAAATCCTTCAGAGCGCCTGCCCCGGTACACAGATAACGCCGAGAGTGATGGCTGGAGGTTACCGAGCCCTGGCTGGGTGCCGGGTGATAGCTGAGTGTTTGCTGTGAGTCCGTGCAGCCGAGAGGTGGTTACAGGTGGTTCCGTGTTACCCTCATGTCATCCTGACCGGCTCAGCCCTGGCTGGTCGGGTAACCTGCCCGCCCTCACACCCCCATTTTGTGCCTGTTTCTGCCCTTTCAGACATGGTCGCCGTGCTGGGGGAGACCACAGGACGTCGAACCCTGAAAGTCCTCCGGGACCAGATGAGGAGGAGCCCGGAAGGTGCCCAGATCCTGCAGTAGGTCCCTGTCCCGCCTGCTGGACAGGGGTGCTTCCCTGGGGCTCCTGACCTCTGTGGAGTCACCCTGTTTTGGGCCTGTGATACCCTGGCCTGGTGGCTGCACGGGGGCTGGACGCTGCCCAGCCCAGAGACACCGTCCACCCCTCCGTGTTTGCCGTGTGCTGACCTCTGGGTTGTGCGGTGGTGGTCGCAGCATCGAGGCTCTGTGCTGCCGTTAAGGTCCTGTGATGTGTGCTGGCTGTACCCATCGGGAGCCTGGCTCCCTGCTGCCGGCCTTGCCGGTGTCCGGGTCTCTTTTAGGGCTTGTGGCTGCCCCGTGCCTCCCCGCCAGCCCCTGGCCTCCTAACGTTGGGCGTTTATCTGCCACTGTGGGCACCCTCCCAGTGCTCATGGCCTGCCTTCTGCCTCCCAGGGAGCGCCCCCGGATCTCACTGTCCACCCTTGACCTGGGCAAGCTCCGGAGCCTGCCGGATGGCTCCCTCGGCCGCGAGTATCTCCACTTCCTGGATGTGAACGTGAGTTTCCAGCTCGTGTGCGCACGCGGGCAGCAGGAAGGGCAGAGCTGGCACCGGGTGACGTCCTGAGTGGCAGGAGCCCGGAGCTGCCTCCGTGTGCAGGATACAGACCTTTGAGTCTCACGCCCAGGCTTGGTCTTTCTGCATGAGACACGCAGACAGGCAGGGAAGACCATTCCGAATGACAGTGTCCGAGAGAGAAAGAGACAGAGAGAAAGAGAGGTTTTCCGTGCACTGGTTCACGCCCCAGATGGCTGCAACAGCCAGGGCTGGGCCAGGCCAAAGCCAGGAGTCAGGAGCTTCTTTTAGAATCTCCCATTTTGGGGCGGGGCCCTGTGGTGCAGTGGGTTAACACCCTGGCCTGCAGTGCTGGCATCCCATATGGGTGCCGGTTCTAGTCCCGGCTGCTCCTCTTCCGATCCAGCTCTCTGGGAAAGCAGTGGAAGATGGCCCAAGTCCTTGGGCCCCTGCACCCCCATGGGAGACCCGGAAGAAGCTCATGGCTCCTGGCTTCAGATCAGTGCAGCTCCAGCTGTTGCAGCCATCTGGGGAGTGAACCAGTGGATGGAAGACCTCTCTCTCTCTCTCTCTCTCTCTCTCTCACTGTCTCTACCTCTCTCTGTAACTCTTTCAAATAAATAAAATAAATATTTTTAAAAAAAAGAATCTCCCACGTGGGTGCAGGGGCCCAGGCACTTGGGCCATTTCCACTGCCTTCCCAGGCCATAGCAGAGAGCTGGATTGGAAGTGGAGCAGCCAGGTCGCAGGCCGGCTCCCGTAAGGCAGTGGCTTTACCTGCTCCCCCACAGCGTCGGCTCTTGCTGCGTGCCGTAGGCTGGGCTCACGCTGATCTCACTGAGTCCTCCCGACAGCCCTGTGCGGTTCGTTCCGTGCTCACCCTCTCTTAGCAGATGAGAAAACAGGCTCGGGGCAGTTACGCTGCCTGCCAGTTTCACATGGCTGGTGCTCAAGGAGGCACAACCCCAGATCCTGCTCTTGGTTTAAAATTCTGTTTATTCATCTGAAAGGCAGAGTGACACAGAGAAGGAGGAACCAGGAATTCCGTCCAGACCTCACATGCGAGTGACGGAATCTAAGAACTCGTTCGGTCTGCCGCCTCCTAGAATGCACACTAGCAGGAAGCTGGAGGGCAAGTGGAGGCAGAGGGGCCGGCGCTGTGGTGAAGCAGGTAAAGCCACCTCCTGCAGTGCCGGCATCCCCTGTGGGCACAAGCTTGAGCCCTGGCTGCTCCACTTCCGATCCAGCTCCCTGCTGTGGCCTGGGAAAGCAGTGGAAGATGCTCCAAGTCCTTGGGCCCCTGCACCTGCACGGGAGACCCGGAAGAAGCTCCTGGCCCCTGCCTTTGGATCAGCTCAGCTCCGGCCATTGCAGCCATCTGGGGAGTGAGAACCAGCAGATGGAAGACCTCTCTCTCTCTCTCTGCCTCTGCCTCTCAAATGAATAAATAAATCTTTTTTTAAAAAAGTGGAGGGCAGATCTCGATCCCAGGCACTCTGATAGGGTAGGCAGGGGTCCCAGATGGTGGCTGACCCTGCCATGCCACGACGCCTGCCCCAGGTCCTGCTGTTAAAAGCCACACTGTGCCCAGGCCCTGGGGCTTCGCATGCCCTAGGGCATCGTGAGTGTGGCAGTGCAGTCGGGCAGCCCCAGCTCCTGCAAAACCCGTTCATTCAGCGTCTGCCGTGTGCTGTGCTGGGGATACAGTGGTGCAGACAGACAAGGTCCCTGCCTTCTTAGAGCCTAGGGTCAGCATGAAGAGGCAGAGAATAAGGTTAGTAAAAGTCGGCTTTCATATAGAAACTCATACTGACTGTTTATGGAGCGCTGAGAATGTCCCAGGCGCCACTGGGATGCGGTGAACAGAGCCAGCAGAGCCAGGGCTTCGTCCTCGCAGGCACTGCAGAGGAGGCGAGGTGATGGGATGGAGAGCGGCTGGGGGGTGACCTCGGCGTCGTCTGAGGAGGCCCCTCGGACGTGACCTGGAAGGTGGGGGGAGCCGGCCCCGTGGAGAGCGGGGTGGGGGCATTCTGGGTGCAGGGAGTGGCAAGAGCAGGGGCCCTGTGTGCTCCAAGCAGAACTGACCAGTGGGGCCGTGGAGGAGCAGGTGGGGGAGAGGCCGCGAGTGGGCTGGAGAGGCCCGCAGGTCTCAGGAGGAGACAGTTTTGCAACAGGAAGCTGTTAGAAGGTCTGAACAGGATAGTAACATGACCTGATTTGTAAAAGGACCTCAGGCGGCAGGCATCGGGCCAGAGTGGGTCCAGCCACTGCTTGCGAGCGCCCTTCGGCCTCTGAGCCAGCTTCCCGCCCCTGCGTCCAGGGTAGCAGCAGAGGATGGCCCAAGTGCTTAGGCCCCTGCCAGCCGTCGGGGAGAGCAGGTGGAGTTTGGACTCCTGGCTTCACCCTGGCCCAGCCTTGGCTGTTGCAGGAATTTGGGGAGTGAACGCATGGGTGGGAGATGTTTGCCTTCTCTGTGACTCCTGCTCTCTCACTCTGCCTTTCACGTAACCAGAAGTAAGCCGCTGTTTCCAGACACTGCATTTGTCCCCAGGACGGTCGCCTTCCTCACACTGTCCTGACCCTGTTGCTGAGGGAGGGGGCCACCTGCCCCGTTCTGTGCCATTCTGGTTTCACCCACACGGGAATTTTGTCAGTGGGAAGCCTCGCGGGGCGTCACCCAGGGGGCAGCAGCTTCTGCCGTCTCTCCATCCCCCAAGCCTGGAGCTGTTGCTGTGGGGGAGGTGGCACCAGGCGTGGGGTGGCCGGGCCGCCCTAGGCACCTTACCTTGTGACACCAGCGGGAGAAGGAGACCTTTGTCCCGGGAGAGATTTAGATAAAGGGTCACGGTGAGGCCGCTTGCCCTGCGGCTGACATAGCTGCGGGGTGTGGCCATCTGGTGGCATCGGGCTGACAGGCAGGGGCTGTGGGGTGGAAGGCGCCTGACCGCGGCTGCCTGCCCCACTCGCCGCCCTGGACTCATCCTGCGTGTCCCCCAGGCCTCACGCTGCCCGGCTGAGGCCCGACGCCTGCACTGGTACTGGCAGTGCTTGAATAGGGCTGCTGGTTCCAGTCTCGGCTCACCAGCGGACCGGCCGTGTGGCCCTGGCCAAGTTACTGTGCCTCTCTGAGCCCTGTTAGTCTTACCAGTACGTGAGGCTAGCTTCGACTCTTGGGCGGGTAAAGCCGGGTGGTGTATGCAGAGGACGGAGGTGGTGGATTGTGGGCACGCAGTACGAGCGGCCATTGCTGTGGTCGCTTTCTCTTCCACACGGTAAGAGCAGCTGCAGGCAACAGGGTGTCCTGGGACGCGGTGGGCCCACGGACCCAGACTGACCGGCACTGGGCCAGCAGCTCCGAAGCACAGACGGGACAGGAGAGAAGGCGGTTCCCGCTCTGTGCAGGTGCTGCCGTGGGCGGGGAACAAAAGGGAACTTGACATCTGAGGTCAGAAGACTGCCTGCGTTGGCCTTTTTTTTTTTTTTTTTTTTTTTCTGACAGGCAGAGTGGACAGTGAGAGACAGAGAGAGAGAGAGAGAAAGGTCTTCCTTTGCCGCTGGTTCACCCTCCAATGGCCGCCGCGGCTGGCGCACCGCGCTGATCCGAAGCCAGGAGCCAGGTACTTATCCTGGTCTCCCATGGGGTGCAGGGCCCAAGCACTTGGGCCATCCTCCCCTGCACTCCCTGGCCACAGCAGAGAGCTGGCTTGGAAGAAGGGCAACTGGGACTAGAACCCGGTGTGCCGGCGCCGCAAAGCAGAGGATTAGCCTAGTCAGCCGCGGCGCTGTAGGTTGGCCTTTTACTCATGTGTCCAGAGGCACTCATTCATCCAGGCCCTGAACAGGCGCCAGAGATACAGAAATGAGCAAAACAGCCAGCCCCGCCCCATGCAGCCCTGTCCATGGAAAGAACATGTGCCACGTGGTAACAAGGTTTTCTGCTGGGGCAACGTTGTGGCACAACCCAGTAAACCTCCACCTGCACCGCCAGCATCCCATCTGAACGCTGGTCCGAGTCCGGCTGCCCCACTTCAGTCCAGCTCCCTGCTAATGCACCTGGGAAAGCAGCGGAAGATGGCCCAAGTGCTTGGCTCCTGCCACCGTGTGGGAGATCAGATGGAGTTCCAGGCTTCTGATTTCAGCTTAGCCCAGCCATGGCCACTGTGGCCTTTTGGGGAATGAACCAGCAAATGGAAAATCAATCTCTTGGGGACAGTGCTGTGGCATCGCTGGTAAAGCCATCACCTGCAGTGCCGACATCCCATATGGGCGTTGGTTTGAGACCCCACCGGCCCACTTTCAGTCCAGCTCTCTGCTGTGGCCTGGGAAAGCAGTGACCCTGGACCCACATGGGAGACTGGGGGAAGCTCCTGGCTCCTGGCTTCAGAGTGGCGCAGCCCTGGCCGCTATTGTGGCCATTTGGGGGAGTGAACCAGCGGATGGAAGACTCTCTCTCTCTCTCTAACTCTGCCTTTCAAATAAATACATAAATCTTTAAAAGAAATCTCTTTGAATCTCTGTGAAACTGTCTCAAATAAGTAAGTTAAAAAAATGTTTACTAGCCACTTTAATAAGAGGATAAGAGCGCAAAGAAACAGGATTGAAGGTTGATTGTATTTTTACATTTTTTATATATTAAATAAACTTTAAAAAGTATTTATTTATTTGAAAGGCAGTTAGAGAAAGAAGAGAGATCTTCCATCTGGTGGTTCACCCCCCAGATGGCCGCACCAGCCAGCACTGGGCCAGACTGAAGCCGGGAATCAGGAGCTTCATCCAGATCTCCCATGTGGGTGGCAGGACCCAAACACTTGGGCCATCTGCTGCTGCTTTTCCCAGGCCACCAGCAGGGCGCTGGGTCAGCAGTGGAGCAGCCGGAACACCAGCCAGTGCCCACACGGGATGCTGACATCACAGTCAGCAGCTTTGCCCACTATGCCATAGAACGGGCCCCTGTTTTTATTTGAGAGACAGAGAGACACAGAGACTAGAAGAGAGCTCTTCCATCTGCTGATGTAGCCCCCAAATGCCTGTGGTAACCAGGGACTGGGCCAGGCCAAAGCCAGGAGCCAGGAACTCTGTCCAGGTCCTCCAGGTGGATGGCAGGGCCTGACTGCCTGGGCCCCCCGCCGCCTGCCAGAGTTAGCAGGAGGCCGGGACCTGAACCCAGGCATTGCAGTTTGGGATGTGGATGTCCAAGCAGCGTCATAACTCGTGCCAGCGGCTGTCTCAGGGTTAGTTGTAATAATACATGTTGTTGAATATATCTAAAATAATACCGTTTAAGTAAGTGGTATTTTTAAATTGCTGCGGTTTCATCTTCATGCTTCAGGCTGAAGTCTCCCGTGTACTGTGTGCACACAAAACTCCCCAGTTGGCATTTGTCCCAATTCGAGGCTCAGTGGCCACATTGGGCTGACGTCTGCCATCCTGGACAGCACAGGTATAGGAGACATGAGTCACGCACACTAAACAGCAAGGTACAGAGGCTGCCAGAGCCCCCCCCCCCGCACCTGTCAGTCAAGGTCAAGGCTGCCAGAGCCCCCCCACACCTGTCAGTCAAGGTCAAGGCTGCCAGAGGGGCCCCCCCCCCGCACCTGTCAGTCAAGGTACAGAGGCTGCCAGAGCCCCCCCCCCCGCACCTGTCAGTCAAGGTCAAGGCTGCCAGAGCCCCCCCACACCTGTCAGTCAAGGTCAAGGCTGCCAGAGCCCCCCCCCCCCGCACCTGTCAGTCAAGGTACAGAGGCTGCCAGAGGGCCCCCCCGCACCTGTCAGTCAAGGTACAGAGGCTGCCAGAGCCCCCACACCTGTCAGTCAAGGTCAAGGCTGCCAGAGGGAGGCCCCCCCTCTCATGCCTGTCAGTCAAGGTACAGAGGCTGCCAGAGCCTCCCCACCTGTCAGTCAAGGTCAAGGCTGCCAGAGCGCCCCCCCACACACACCTGTCAGTCAAGGTACAGAGGCTGCCAGAGCCCCCACACCTGTCAGTCAAGGTCAGGGACATCCCCCCGGGTGGGGGAAACCTGACCAGGGCATGCGTGAGAAGTAGGGACTGTCAGGTGAAGACGGGGTCGTGGGAGAGAGCACTCCAGACAGCAGCCTGTGCTGAGGATCAGGGGCCTACAGGCCTGTTCTTAGTTGTTTTTGTTTAAGCTGTTGACTTATTTACTTGAAAGGCAGAGTAACAGAGGAGAGCTTCTACCCACCAGTTTACTCCCTAGAGGCCTACAACACCCAGGGCTGAGTCTGTCCTGGGCAGGAACCAGGGACTCCAGCCAGGTCTCCCACATGGGTGGCAGGAGCCCAAGGACTCGGGCCATCAACCGTGGCTCCCCAGGTGGGTTAGCAGGGAGCTGGATTGGAAGCAGAGCAGCCAGGACCCAAAGCACTGCTCTGATGGGGGATGTGGGTGTCACGAGTGGTGGCTTGCCCCGCTGCGACAGGCCTGCCCAGATCGATTGCCTGAAGCTGAGTCGTGTTAGGTGTGCTCAGGCTGTGCTGCCGTGGGCCTCCAGGCTGTCCTCAGTTCGCAAACACAAACTCTGTACCCATTAAACAGCTGCCCGTTCCTCCTCCCACTAGGGCCCTTTGCTAGGGCTTCCAACAGGATGCAAAGCTGATGTGTGATTTGGAGTAAGCAAAGGGGGTGCCGTCTCCCCGCCTGCCCTGCCCAAGGCCTCCCCTGCTGGCAGGGGTGCACAGAAGCTGCAAGCTTTCTGGGGGGAGCTGCGTTGGGTGGGAGGAGTTCGAGGGGAGGCTGGAGAGGTGGGCCCTGGGCAGAGTGGGAGGAGGTCTAGGGGTGGCTCCCGGCTGTCAGAGGGTCTCCCCAGACACCCGAGCGCCCACCCGCTTCGTGGACGACGAGGAGCTGGCGTACGTGATCCAGCGGTACCGGGAGGTGCACGACATGCTCCACACCCTGCTGGGGATGCCCACCAACATTCTGGGTGAGTGAGTGGCAGCCAGCCGGCCGCGCAGCCGGGTCGGGGGCGGGGCTCCCCAGACTCCGGCTCCAGCCCCGCCCACCACCGGCTGGCTCAGTGTCTTGCTTCCTGCTCTGCCCAAACATCTCGGTGGCATCTCTACCGCTCAGCCCTCTCCTCCATCCCGTCTGCCCCTTCCGGCTTCTGCACCGATGTCACAGTGTCCACACAGAGCTCCCCGCTCTGAACCCCCCTGCAGCTCCCCGGCTGGGCCTCTCAGTCCTCTGCATTCTGACCTTTCCAAGTGCTGGCCTTTGACCCCCTGCCCCAGACCGAGCCCCAGGGCCCTGCACAGGCCAGGACTGGGCACAGCTGATCCCTGGTAGAGACTGGAGAGGAGCAGACGCCTCTCCAGGCCCTACCAGCGGCACCTCTGGCCTCTCCTAGCCCTGCTCACCTCCCACCCTGTCCCTCACCCCCAGGGGAGATCGTGGTGAAGTGGTTTGAGGCTGTGCAGACCGGCTTGCCCATGTGCATCCTGGGTGCACTCTTTGGCCCGATCCGGCTCAGCGCTCCGTACGTGTTCAAGGGGGCGGGACGTGGAGACTCGGGAATGGGGAGGGCGCGGCCCCTGAGCAGCCCTGGTGGTTTTCCAGGAAGCAGTGGTGGAAAGGACGAGGCAGGGATGAGGGCGGCCTGGTGTCTCCAGGGCAGTGGACGAAGCCTGGAGCCCAGGCTGGGTCAGAATGACTGGTGTCAGGGGAAAGCAAGTTCGGGTTCCGGAGTTGTGTAGCCCTCAGTTGAAGTCTGGGCCTCGGCACGTCTGGGAGGTGTGGCTTTGGGCATAAGATCGACCTCGCCGAGTTTCTGTTCCCGCACCTGAGAGGTGGGCATCGATGGCTGCCTCCTCTCGGGCAGGAAGCGCACTGAGCGGTGGGGTGCCCAGAGCTGCCGGCCTCGGGCCTCACGCTGTCTCCTCTGCTGTCCGCAGGCGCCTGCGCGTGCTGGTCTCGGAGCTGATCCCCTGGGCGGTGCAGAACGGGCGCAGGGCCCCGTGTGTCCTCAACCTGTACTACGAGCGGCGCTGGGAGCAGCCCCTGAGCGCCCTGCGGGCGGAGCTGGGCATCACGGCCCCCCCCAGGGACGTCCAGCGCCTGGCCCAGGCCTGAGCTGCTGAGCAGCAGGGTCTGGCCTGCCCCCCCCCACCTCTGTTCCTTCGTGGTGAACGCTGACCCTTGGACATCATTCATCTTAGTTGTCATTATCTCCACTGAGTGGCCTTGAGGGCCAGTCCAGGAGGAAGTGGGCAGCACAGTGGGGCTCCCGGGGGGCTGGGAGTGAGTGAGGAACAGACGTGTCTCAGGCCTGCTCCTGCCTCTCCCCGCCAGCCCTGCTGTCCTGCGTGTCCTGGCTGTACCAGTTCCAGAGGCCTGGGAAGACAGAGGTGGGGGTGGGGGCGAGTCTGCCGTCCCAATAAAGGCTCCCCCCACAGTGCAAACGTCTGCCGGCCCTCCCTCCCTGCCTGCTGACCGCGGCCCCCCAGCACTGCAGGTGGAAACCCTGTCCCAACCTGAGCTTCCCCTGCTCGTCCCCGCTCCTGTGGTCTGAGGTCCGGCTGAGTGGGGTTCACATTCCCAGCTGCTCCTCCGGGTTCTAGCGGAAGAGAAAGCAAGTTCTTTGTGCTTTCTGAACGCCCGCTCCTTCACCATGAAAGGGGTCACAAACAGCACCCCCGGAGCTGCCCTGGGCCTTCCTGGGAGGCACAGAGAAGCACTCGAGGAGCCAGGGCTGTTCGCCAGTTAGTTGTTGGTTTTCACGTGTATCTTTATTTGAAAGGCAGAGGGAGAGACAAAGAAGTGTGCCACCCACAAGTGCACTCCCCACATTCCTGCAATGGCCGGGTTTGGGCCAGGCCAGAAGCAGGCCCCGGAACTGTTCATGTCTCCTGTGAGGGCACTTGTCACCTGCTGCCCCCAGGGTCTGCTCGAGCAGGAAGTCGGGTGGGAAGTGGAGCTGGGACTTGAACCCTGGCACTGCACTAGGGCCTCCCCTGCAGCATCCTAACCACTGTGCCAAACACTCAGCCCCCCCGCCCCGGTGCTGTGTTCACCTTCACGGGAAGGAGTTTCAAGGCTGCCACAAACAGGTGTTTCTTTTGGGTCAGGGTCGAGGAATGGGGACAGGCAGGATGCAGAGTGTCGCTGGGCGAGCAGGCAGCCCTGTCTTGGGGTTTAGGACCAGCAGAAATCCCAAGATGGCAGAGCCTTTGGAGTTTTGGAGCCAACTCCTCACTGTGCATGTGGGTCAGAGCTAGGCACAGGCGCCCGGAGCAGCTGGAGCGTGGGCCTCCATGGAGGTTGTCCTCAGTTCCCCTATTTTTAATAATGGCACAGTGTATTCCAGCTGTGCCTTACCACCTCCTCACCTGAGTCCACCCGAGAGGGAGAGGCCGTCACAGGCGTCCCTGGAATCTGCGGGGCATGGGTCCCAGGAACCCCGAGTGAGGCCGGAGCCCACGGTTCCCGTGCTCTGTGAAGCAGCGTTGTGTTTGCGTGTAACCGTCTTCTGATTGCATGAGAGGCGGTATCTAGCCCAACAGGGAGACGACAGGATGCCACGTTCCACGGCAGTACCCGGGTTCCGTTCCCGGCTCTGGCTCCTGACCCTGTGGCCCCTGGAGGCAGCAGCAATTGGGCTCCTACCACCCACACGTGAGATCTGCCCTGGGCTCCGGGGCTCCTGGCTCTGGCCATTGTGGGCATCTGGGGAGTGAACCAGTGGATAGGAGCTGTATTTCTCACTAAAATAATCACACGTACTGTCTAGGGGCTGGCCTTGTGGCCAGTAGGTTGAGCCGCCACTTACGATGCCGGCATCCCATATCAATACAGGTTCAAGTCCTCGCTGCTCTGCTTCCAGTCCAGCTCTCTGCTACTGCGCCCGGGACAGCAACAGAAGATGACCCAATTATTTGGGCCCCTGTCACCCACATAAGAGACCCTTTTGGAGTTCCAGGCTCCTGGCCCTCCCCTGGCTGTTACAGCCATGTGGGGAGTGAAGCAGTGGATGGAAAATCTGTTTCTCTTTCCTTCTCTGTCACTCTTTCAAATTCATTTAGAGTGACAGGTCTTCCATCTGCTGGTTCACCCCCCAGATGGCTGTAACGGCCAGGGCTGGGCCAGACCAGAGCCAGGAGCTTCCTCCAGGTCTCCCCCGTGGCTGGCAGGGGCATCTGCTGCTGCTTTCCCCAGGCTATTAGCAGGGAGCCGGATCAGAAGTGGAGCAGCTGGGACTCAAACTGTCACACGAGGGACGCCAGTGCTGCAGGCAGCGGCTTTACCCACTATGACACGGACTGGCCCTTAAAATAAAGCTTAAAAAAATAAAATTACATATAGTACCTAATCCAAGGTAAATTCTGCATAAAAAGCAGTTATACTGTATTGTTTAGGGAATAATGACAAGAAAAAAGTGTATATGGTCAGTACAGATGCAAATTATTTTTCACAAATACATTTAACTTGCAGTTGCCTTAATCCATGGATGTGGGACCCCCAGAAATGGAGGTCTGTGTGTCTGTGTTTTTTAAGATTGATGCATTTATTTGAAAGGCAGAGTGACATGGAGAGGGGGTCCTGGACATGCAGGACCTCCATCCGGGTGTCCCATTGAGCCATCTTAGGACACATTAGCAAGAAGCTAGGTCAAAAGTGTGGAGCAGGCCTAACCTGCTGTGCCACAGCACCATAGGAGCAGAGCCGCTGCCGGTACCAGGAGTTCCCTGAGGACCCTCCCAGCCCCCCCAGCACCCCCCCCCTCGTTCAGGGCCTGTGGCGCAGAGGAAGGGTGCGGGAGGTGGGGACCTCCCTCCGAACCCGAGTTTCTCAGGGCAGGCCTTGTCCTGAGCTGCGTGGACTTCTGCAGGAAGGGGGGATGGGCGAGTCCCTGCAGCTCCCCCCTCTGCAGAACGGGCCGCCTGACCGGACCTGCTGCCAGCTGTCCCTCCAGACGGTCAGCAAGAGCAGCCTCCTGCTGGGGTGGCACCTGTGTCACCAGCTCATGAGTGCAGGAAATGCCAGTGGCAGTCGCGAGGCCTTGCTCACTTCTGGTAGAAGCTCCCGTCCCCTTCCTCAGTAACCCCTGGTGGCCTTCTCCCTGCTCCCTCAACACGCCAGCCCCCTGCCTTTAGGAACAGCACTGGCCGGCTCCTTGCCATTCACATCACTGCCTGAATGTCACCTCAGAGGGGCCGTCCCTGACCACCTGGCTCCCGCCTGCCAGGCCATCACCCTTCCTCGGGAGCCCTCACCCCTGCCTGAGCCTGCCTCTCATCGGCTGTAGGTGTGTGGAGGCCGGGTCCCTTCCCTGTCCCCGGGGAGCAGCGTGCAGCTCAGTCAGGCGTGGCGCTGTGCTCCTGAACACCCTACGTGTCCCCACGACGGCCCCCTAGAGGGGAGGCTGGCAGAGCCTCACTTCACAGCCTCACAGCGCAGACTGTTGGGCCTGCCCTGTGACGCACGGGTCTTGAGTTCTTTCGCGGTAGCCAAGGGAAAGCCCCCTCCCCTCCAACCCCGGCCTCATAAAACCCACATGGGGGGGGGGGGGGCGGGACTGTGGCACAGTGGGTAAACACCCTGGCCTGAAGTGCCGGCATCTCATATGGGTGCTGGTTGGAGACCCAGCTGCTCCACTTCTGATCCAGCTCTCTGCTGTGGCCTGGGAAAGCAGGGGAAGATGGCCCAAGTCCTTGGGACCCTGCACCCGCGTGGGAGACCCGGAAGAAGCTCCTGACTCCTGGCTTCAGATCGGCACAGCACCAGCCATTGTGGCCATCTGGGGAGTGAACCAACGGAAGGAAGACCTCTCTCTCTCTCTCTCTCTCTCTCTCTCTTCTCTCTCTCTCTCTGTAACTTTCAAATAAATAAATCTTTAAAATAAATTAATTAAAAAAAAAAATCCCGCATGGAGCTGGCCCTGGCCTGCCACGGGGCAGCCCTGCTCCCCTGCGGAACTCGGGGAAGCCTGTTTGCTAATCTGTGAAGTGAGGAGAGTGCCATTGGACCCGCAGGGCTGGTCTGTGTGGGGCTCGGCAGAGCCGCACGGTGGGGGCGCTGGGGAAGCACGCTGTCATTTCCCTGGGGGGGGGGGCGGGGGGCCTTTGGAGGCCGCCGAAGGCACTCGGTGCAAAGTCAAGCTGGAAGTGTGTGTGTGCACACCCAGAGTGGGAGGACCACCACAGCTCCCAGGGCCCAGGAGTGTCTGCGGGGTAAACCCCTCCCGGTTCCAGCCCCAAACCAGTTTGGTGCCCCGGGGAGGCTGAACCCCGCACGAGTGCAATGCCAGTGCCTGAGAAGGAGTTTTCAGCACTGACGCCGGTTCCCTCAGCCGTGCAGATGGCTCACGTCGGGAACGGCGCCCACTGTGAGGTCAGCCTCAGCTGGGCTGCTCCCAGCCCCTGCCCTTGGCCCTGCACTGCCTCTGGAGGTCTTTCCACTCACTCCTGCCACCACACGCCCCCCCCCCCGTCCCCATGGATCTTAACACACACACCCACTAGTCTGCAATCATCACACAGATATCTTTTTATTTATTATTTATTTATTTATTTGAAAGGCAGAGTTACACAGAGAGAGAAGGAGAGGCAGAGAGAGAGGTCTTGCATCTGCTGGTTCACTCCCCAGTTGGCCGCAACGGTCAGAGCTGGCCTGAAGTCAGGAGCTTCTTCCGGGTCTCCCACATGGGTGCAGGGGCCCAAGGACTTGGGACATCTTCCACTGTTTTCCCAGGCCATACCAGAGAGCTGGCTCGAAGTGGAGCAGCCAGGACTTGAACCAGTGATAATATGGGATACCGGCACTGCAGGCAGCGGCTTTACGCGCTGCACCACAGCGCCGCCCCCCCCCCCTTTTTTTTTTAAGTTTATTTTGAAAGTCAAGAGTTACAGTAGGGCTAGGGGCAGAGACAAAGAGATCTCCCATACGCTGGTTCACTCTCCAGATGGCTGCAACAGCCAGTGCTGGGCCAGGTTGAAGCCAAGAGCTTCATCCAGGTCTCCCACTTGAGTGTCGGGGACCTAAATACTCGGGCCATCTTCCACTACTTTTCCCAGGCCATTAGCAGAGAGCTGGATTGGGAACAGAGCAGCCTGGACACAAACCAGCATCCATATGGTATGCTGGTGTTGCAGGGAGTGGCTTTAAGCCCCACAAGTATCTCCTGAGCCTGTGCTGAACTCAGAGGCCGAATTCAGCACTGCCCTGTTGGAGTTGGGTGGTCAGGCCAGCTGAGTGCCTCCCACGTGCCATGCTTGAGCTGGGAGCCTGACCTGCATCCGGTCCTCAAATCCATACCCAGCCCCAGGAGGCAGGGGTGGTGGTGATGACGATGCGCCCCCATTCGACGGGCAGGAACACCGAGGCCCCGTGAAGAGACAGGGTTTGCCCAGAGCCTCACAGCTGAGGCCAGGAGTGTGTCCAACTGGGGAGCAAAGGAGACCCGCAGTAATGCAATGAGTGTTACACCAGGACTGTGGAGCACACTGGCGAGGGACCCGTCTGGTCTGATCTCCGCCTGCCCTCTCTGTGCCCAGCTAGAGGCGGGCTGTCTTGTTCCCTCCGTGTCCCCTTGCTTGTGTCCTCAGGCTGGCCCAGTGTCCACTCGGGTCCTGCCTTGGCCTCACCCACGTGACAAGCCTGAGTGGAAGGGAGCAGCTGCCGGCCTCAGTGCCCTCCCCCAAACGCTCACCTGCCCACTCTGCGCATGACCTCTGTGGTCAATTCGGTAATAACCGTGTTTACAGACTGGGGTCCTGATGTGGGCACAGTCAGCGTCCCCAACCCCTCTGCATTCACTCAACAAACATTTACTGAGCTGCTCCCACCTGCTCGGCCCTGTGGTCGGAAGCAGAGATAACCTTCCATCCACACTTGCTCTGGTGTGTGCTGCGTGGCCGGGGGAGGCACCACCAGCACCAGCACGCTCTCATTGCATCTCTAAGACGACGCTGGGGGCGGGCGTCCTGGCACAGTGGGTTAAGCCTGAGGTGCGCACACCCCACACTGCCGCGCCTGCATCCAGTCCTGGCTGCCCCGCTTCTGATCCAGCTTCCTGTGAACTCACACCCCGGGAGGCAGCAGATGGTGGCCCGGCTCCTGCTTCAGCCTGGCCCAGCCCCGGCTGTTGTGGGCATCTGGGGAGTGACCCAGCCGACAGATGATCTCTCCCGCTCTGTCACCATGTCTTTCAGATACTTTTTTTTTTTTTTAAAGAAGAAACTGAGTCTGTGAACTTGGATCTGAGAAGCTGAACCCAACTCCGTGGAAGCCCGTAACCATTGCCCTGCACTGCCTCCCCAGTGTGGTATCTGTGGAGGGCGGGGCGGGATTGCCCCGGGATTTCCCCCCACAACGCACCCTATGCTACCGCAGGAACAGGTCCCAGCGCTTATCAGACCAGAGTTCCATCTTGAACCTCCATAAACGGGGCCGGGGACTGCCCCTTCCTCCCTAAGGGCCAGCGACCGCGGGGGTGCCCCGCACGTCCGGGAATCTGGCTGGTCGCCCCTGGCTGGGCACAGCGCATGGTAAGGCCATGGATCTATAGGATTTTCTACAGCATGACCAGAGGCTAAAGTTAACCAAAGCGCCCCCAAATGCACGCCAGGCTGCTTGGAAAGTTCCAAGGCAGAGACGGGCCTCCGCACGTGGCAACCCAGACACCAAGTTTAGGGCTGTCAGGGCCGCGGACCCACAGCCTAGGGTCCGAAGGAGCTGCGCTTCTTCCTCACGACCCTCATAAAGGTACTGGCGGCCGCACAGTAGCCCAACGCGGGTGACGGAGGAGCCATCAAAATTCGACTCTGGTGGGACTCGAACCCACAACCTTTGAATCGCCAACCCAGACTCAGCTAGAAGTCCAATGCGCTATCCATTGCGCCACAGAGCCGGCTGCTGGAGTGCCGGCTCCAAATCACCTCTCTGCCGGAAACCGCCCGTCTAGCGCTCCCCTGGGCGTGGCGCTGGGCCTGGGCCAGCTCTGCCTCGGCCTCGGAGCAGGCTGACGGTGCCGACGGGGGCGCTGCCCGCCACGCCTGGCGCCGCGGGGTCTGCGGGGAGACCCGGCGGGCAAGTGCCCGCCTGGGTCCCCCGCGGCTCCGGGGGTGCTGCCTGCGGCCGGGCGCGGCTGCGCGGCGCGGACTACATTTCCCAGCGTGCCGCGCGGCAGCGCCGCCCGAGGCCGTCGCGCGCGCAGTGCCGGCTGGGGCCGGGCGGCGTCGGGCGCGCCGGGCAGCGCTGCGCTGCGGCTCCGAGGCTCGGCCGCCGCGGGGAAGGCGCGGGAGGCGGTGCTGCGGCCGGCACAGCCGGTTTGGGTTGCGGGAGGCGGGCGGGGGAGGAGCGCGGCGGGCGGAGGAGGAGCGCGGCGGGCGGGCTGGCCCGGCCGGGCGCAGAACGTTGCTAAAACCCGGCTCCGTGCGCCCAGGGGCGGCTGATGCCCCCGGCGCTCCCCACTCCGCTGCCGCAACCGGGCCGCGTCTGGACGGGGCGCCGCACCGCGGGGCCGACGCCGGGTGAGCCGAGGCGGGGCCGGCGGGGGTGTCCCCGGGCCGGGGAACGTGCGGGGCCGGGTCCGGGGGAGGTGGCGGGGCCGGCCGCTCGGTCCCCTCGCCGTGGCCGTCTGAGGGGCGAGGTCGGCCCGCGTGACTCGGGACTGGGCCCGGGGGAAACCGGCACCCTGTCCCCTCCCCGCACGCCCCCTGCCGTGGTGGGCTGAGGGCGCAGAGGGCTGGCATGGGGATGCTCCTTCGGTCCCACTCCGCCCCACCCCGACTTCGCTCCTCGCGCGGAGGGCGCGACGAGGTGGCCTGTGAAGCCTCCCCGTGCCCAGGCGTTGCCTCTCACGCCGGCTCAGGGCTTCTGCACCGTGACCTTCAGCCCCTCCCGAGATTAGGAAAACCCTAAGGAAAACCCAGCCCATCAGCCGCCCCCTGGAGCAAGTCCGCAAAACCCAGGGACAGAGCCCCGGCGGCCCCGGGAGCCGCTCCCCGCCTGCGAGGCCTCGTCCGAGTGGCTGGGTGTGTGCGGGGCTGGGGGCCCAGGACCCCGCTCCTCTCCCTCGATCACCTTTCCCCGCTGGGCAGTCACCTTTCGGCTCCTGCGCGCGAACCTGTTGGCTCGGCCGCCCCCTGTCGACCAGCAGAGGCACGGCACTGCCCCGCGCCGTGGGCAGACCCGAACAGGCTGTGACTCGGCTGGGTTGTCCCCACCCGCTTTCTGGGTCTCTGGGTGAGGAGTGGAGCAGGGGCGTTCAGGTCAGTACCCACTCCAGGCCATCTTAGGTAGGGGCCTTGGAAGTCAGGAGAGCCGGCTGCCCTGTTTTAGCTGGGAAGGACCCTCAGAACACGTCATACTATACCCATTGCTCAGAGGAGAAGGCTGAGGCTTGAGGTAGGAAAGGCCCCTAGAGAATGGTGGGCGTGGCAGCTCCTTTTTCAGATCAAGTCCCAAGCCCCTGGCCTGCCCCTTCCAGCGAACCAGGGGACTCAGCTCCGGAAAGGGACCCCAGCCCTCAGTCACCCCTCCCACCGTGGCTGAGACCACTGTGGTTGACCTCTGGGGGGGGGTCTCAGTGGCCTGGTGGCCTGGGCCAGGAGGTGGGGTCCTCAGTCACCCCTCCCACCGTGGCTGAGACCACTGTGGTTGACCTCTGGGGGGGGTCTCAGTGGCCTGGTGGCCTGGGCCAGGAGGTGGGGTCCTCAGTCACCCCTCCCACCGTGGCTGAGACCACTGTGGTTGACCTCTGGGGGGGTCTCAGTGGCCTGGGCCAGGAGGTGGGGTCCTCAGCCACCCCTCCCACCGTGGCTGAGACCACTGTGGTTGACCTCTGGGGGGGTCTCAGTGGCCTGGGCCAGGAGGTGGGGTCCTCAGCCACCCCTCCCACCGTGGCTGAGACCACGGTGGTTGACCTCTGGGGGGGTCTCAGTGGCCTGGTGGCCTGGGCCGGGAGGTTGTCCCAGGGGACTCGGGTGTCTGAGTGCTGACTGCGCTGTGCCCACAGGCCACGATGCTGCTCGGGGCGTCTCTGGTGGGGGTGCTGGTGTTTTCCAAGCTGGTGCTGAAGCTGCCCTGGACCCAGGTGGGGTTTTCCCTTTTGCTGCTCTACTTGGGGTCTGGCGGCTGGCGATTCATCCGCGTCTTCATCAAGACCATCAGGCGGGATGTCTTGTGAGTACCCCCTGCCCCTCCGGGGGCCCTCGTGCCACTCCTGATCGCCAGATCTCCTGCAGGACCCCCTGGTCTCCGCCAGCCCGGGACACTTGGGCCCGCCCCACCTCCTTTTCGCTGGCAGTACCAGGCACCTCTATCTCCAAGGTCAAAGTCTTCTTCCAGGGACTGTCCCTGCTGTGAGGTCCTGTGGTCGGGGGCAAGCCTAGGAGGCTGAGACATGTCAGACAGCAGGCGTGCTGAGAGACATCTGGAAGGGGTCCCCAGGACGAGGCAGGGGAGCCCAGGAGGGGAAAAACCTGTCATCGGTTGGCATATGCCCGAGAGGGCACAGAGGGCCCCACGTTCCGGAGCAGGGCCACGTCAGAGGCCTGCTGCGGTGTGCTGCGTGCCAGGTGCCGTGCTGGCTCGGCTGGCGGGGAGCTGAGGTGGAGTGACTCCCTGGCGGGCAGTACCTCGCAGTCAGAGACCCTGCTCTGCCCCACTCCTGGGTCCCAGCCCCTGGCACAGCGAGCCGCGGGCAGAGCGGGCAGCTCAGCCTGCGTCACTCTGGGCTGGCGACACAGGAGGCGTGGAGGGACAGGCGTCCCTCGTCGAGTGCCCGGGTTCGCGTCTCATCTCCACTTCTGATCCAGCTTTCTGCTGACATGTGCCCTGGGAGGCGGCGGGGGATGGCCCAGTGACTTGGGCCCCTGCCCCCGTGTGGGACCGCAGGCTTGGTTCTAAGCTCCTGGCTGTCGCAGGCATTCAGGAAGTGAACGAACGGGTGGCAGATCTCGCTCTGCCTTTCGGATTAGATGACAGTGGAAAGAAAGAAAGAAAACGGAAGCACAGGAAAGAGACGGGAGGTGTGGAGTGGCACAGTGGGAAGGTCGGAGCCGCAGAGAGTGACTGGCACACGGAGCGAGGCCAGGGCCAGGCCACGGTGTGGGAATCGGAGCAGCCTCGGGTGGGGAGGGGCACAGCCGGACTCCAGGTGGCCGGAGAGGAGCCCAGCTGAGGACACAGCTTCAGGAAGGGCTGGAGACAGGAGAGCTCGCAGAGGGCAAGGGGTCGGGGTGGGGGCAGGCGGGCGCGTGCTGCCAGGTGAAACCACACCCACTGCTGCGTGGCAGGCGCCGAGCAGGGCCTGGGGGACAGGACGGTGAACGGGACAGAGGCCAAGCCCGGCTGGGCCTGTGGGGAGAAAGAACAGACGGAGCAGCAGCACACTTGGCCCCTGGGGACCGTGGCAGTGGCCGTGGTGCTAGGGGAGGCTCGAATGAGGAGTTTGGACTTGGAGGCGGGACCCTGGAAGACTGACAGCACAGCAGGCTGAGGAGGGAGCAGGAGCCATGGATGCCAGGGGTTCACATCCGGGCTCAGCCGTGCTTGACCTGGGAAGCCCTGGGCAAGCCGTGGCGCCATGTCGGCCTCGGATCTGCGACACTGTGGGGCGCAGGAAGTGGGGGTGGGTTACGTGCAGGGGTCCACAGCCCGGACTGGGGCTTCGGGTGCCCGCCGCCCCAGCCCCAGCCGTGGCAGCTCCCTGCCCGCCCCCTCCGCAGTGGCGGCCTGGTGCTCCTGAAGGTGAAGGCCAAAGTGCGACGGTACCTGCGGGAGCGGGCCACCGTGCCCGTCCTGTTTGCCTCCACGGTGCGGCGCCACCCCGACAAGACGGCCCTGATCTTCGAGGGCACGGACACCCGCTGGACCTTCCGCCAGCTGGATGGCTACTCGAGCAGCGTGGCCAACTTCCTGCAGGCCCGGGGCCTGGCTCCAGGCGACGTGGCTGCCCTCTTCATGGAGAACCGCAATGAGTTTGTGGGCCTGTGGCTGGGCATGGCCAAGCTGGGCGTGGAGGCGGCGCTCATCAACACCAACCTGCGGCGCGACGCCCTGCGCCACTGCCTCACCACCTCCCGCGCACGGGCCCTCATCTTTGGCAGCGAGATGGCCGCAGGTGAGCCCTGCGGGGCAGGGGCTGGGGAGGCCGAGTGGTCGTGGGTGAAGGGCACGAGCCCTGGAGTTCCTGGAGGGCCGGGGCTCCGCTGCCCAGAAGCCAGAGGCGCTGAGCGAGGCCCCGGATTCCCGAGCCTCAGGTCGCTCCCCACAGCACCCACCTCCTGCCGTTTGGTGCTCCCCCGGAAGCGCTAGCGAGAGGCTGATGCCAGCGGCCCCTCCGATGCGCCGGCGGCCTCGCCTGCCTCATCTATGAGGGGAGAAGGCGTTCAGTGCCCCGCCCCTTGCAGGACTTGGCGCTTTACAGGGCACTTGTGGTCTTCGCAGAGCCCCGTGAGGGAGGGCGGTGGTCTTCCTCCGTGGCTGCCAGCCTGCGGTCCAAGCTTGCCTGCAGCCTCCGTTCTTTGTCCCACACCCCTGTGGCTGCGAGAAGGGCGGGGGACTTAGTGCGAAGCTGAAGGGGAGGAGGAAGGGCGCAGTGGGGGAGCAGGAGGCGCGGGAAGTGCCCTTTGGCTGCCACCGCCGCGGGAGCTCTTGCTCCTGGCAGCGGTGAGAGCCCAGGTGCTCCGCCCAGCTGGCCTCCCTGAGCACACGGCCAGCGCTGGCACAAGCCACGGTCCTGGGCACACGGGGTTTCCCGGCCTTTCTGTTGAGCCGCCCCTTCTCCCCTGCAGCCGTCTGTGAGATCCACGCCAGCCTGGACCCCTCGCTCAGCCTTTTGTGCTGCGGCTCCTGGGAGCCCAGTGCGGTGCCCACCGGGACAGAGCACCTAGACCCTCTGCTGGATGCGGCCCCCAAGCACCTGCCCAGCCGCCCTGATAAGGGCTTCACAGGTGGGCTCCCCCGATCCCACAGAAGGATGGAAGCAAGGACGGGCACTGGCCTCAGGGTCAGGAGACCTGGGTTCTTCCCCGAACTGCCACGTGCCTGGAGCAAGTCACGCCACCTCCCCTCCTAGCACAGGACTCCGGTCCCTTGGTGTGTGTGGAGGTGCCGGGCGCAGAGCCGAGCACAGAGCTCACCAGCTGCAGTTCTCGGTGGAGCAGCCTGCACTGGTGCCGACACAGCAGGGCCACGTGGACCCTGAGAGCTGCCCTGTTGGAGTTCTGGCTGGGGTGGGGTTAGCGGGGTAGGTGAGGGGCAGGGTTCTTTAGTGTTCACCTGGTCAGTGCAGGACTCTGCCTGTACACTGCCTCGCAGCTCAGAGCTGGGGCTGGCGAGTCAGATCTGAGTTCCTGTTGCCAGTTCTGCTGCTACCTTTGTGTGGCCCTGGACACCTGCCCTGCCTCTGAGCCTGAGTTCCTGTAGCCATGAAACTGGGATAGCAGCCGAACCTACTTTATGGGATGGCTTTGAGGGCTTTACAGACATAGGGTCCAGCCCTGAGGCTAAGGTGGGGCGCTGGTCACTTGTGCTCATTGTTTAACCCATCCCTTGGGGGCAGGGGTCTGCCACCTGTGTGACTGTGCCCAGCCCCAGGCTGCCCTCTCACAGCCCCTCATGTCTGTTCTTTCAGATAAGCTCTTCTACATCTATACGTCCGGCACCACAGGGATGCCCAAAGCCGCCATCGTGGTGCACAGCAGGTGAGGAGCCGCTGCCCCAGGGCGGGCCTGGGAGCCCCCTCTGCCCTTCCAGGTGGAGGGGAGCCCACCTCGCCCTTTGCCTCTCCAGGTATTACCGCATGGCCGCCCTGGTGTACTATGGATTCCGCATGCGGCCCGATGACATTATCTATGACTGCCTGCCCCTCTACCACTCCGCAGGTAACCCTGGGCCCCTGTGGGCCTACAGCACCCCCAGGTACTTAGGGGCCCCCACCCGCTCTTCTTGTCAGCGTGTTGCAGGAGAACCTTAGGCGCTTGGGGGTGAAGTCTGGGTTCACATCCAGACATGGTCCTTGACTGCACGTCAGTCTCCTTACCTGGTCTCCATGAGGCAACCACAGCAGCCCAGGGTACCCGGCTCCCTTGCCTCCAGGACCCTTCTCTGCCTCCAGGGAACATCGTGGGAATCGGACAGTGCCTCATCCACGGCATGACAGTGGTGATCCGGAAGAAGTTCTCAGCCTCCCGGTTCTGGGACGACTGTATCAAGTATAACTGCACGGTGAGCGAGCGGGGCGGGCCCGAGCCGGCCCCTCGGGTCCGTCAGCCGGAAGGGCCACATTGCCATTGTGCACCCGGGGAAGCTGAGCCCCAGAGGGTGGAGGGCGAGCCCAGGAGCCGAACTCACACCAAGTCCGCCCCAGATCGTGCAGTACATCGGTGAGCTGTGCCGCTATCTCCTGAACCAGCCGCCGCGGGAGGCGGAGACCCAGCACCAGGTGCGCATGGCGCTGGGCAACGGCCTCCGGCAGTCCATCTGGACCAGCTTCTCCAGCCGCTTCCGCATCCCCCAGGTGGCCGAGTTCTACGGGGCCACCGAGTGCAACTGCAGCCTGGGCAACTTCGACAGCCAGGTGCGGCTGGGCTGGGACGGGCGGCCGCCGCAGGGGTGATGGGAGGCGCCCAGAGGAGGGCCGAGCTCCAGTGGGGGTGCGGCCAGGCTGGGAGAGTCCAAGTCTTGGCCTTTGCAGGTGGGCGCCTGTGGCTTCAACAGCCGCATCCTGTCCTTCGTGTACCCCATCCGGCTGGTCCGCGTCAATGAGGACACCATGGAGCTGATCCGGGGGCCAGATGGCGTCTGCATTCCCTGTCAGCCAGGTGTGCCCGGGGTGGGGGCGGTGGGCATGGGGGGAGCCCCGTGCAGACCAGCGGCCCCACTCAGCTCTGCTCTTAGGGCTGCAGAGTGTTTATTTACTTGTTCATCTGTCCATCCATCCAACCACTCACCACCCTGTCTGTTGGCCATTCATTCATTCATTCATTCTTTTTTAAAGATTTGTTTATTTGAAATGCAGTGATACAGAGAGGGAGAGGCAAAGGCAGAGAGAGAGAGAAAAGTCTTCCATCTGTTGGCTCACTCTCCAATTGGCTGCAACAGCCAGGGCTGGGCAGACTGAAGCCTGGAGTCTGGAATGCCATCCAGGTCTCCCACATGGGTGGCAGTGGCCCAGTACTGAGGCCCTTAAGTCTGCCATGGGCGAGTGACTCCGCCTCCGTACCTGAGTCCCCTCGTCTGCAGATGCAGCTGTTGTCCATGGAGGTGGCCTGAGGGTTACGCGCGCTCAGCACGCAGAGCGCTGTGAGTGGACCAGGCACGAGGCAGGGGCGGCTTGGTTCCCTGTCCCCGTGGAGCCTGGCGCGTGCCCTGTGGTTCATCTTTGTTCAGTGAGCAGACATCACTGAGGGCCCAGGTGTGTCAGATGCTGCTCTCGGAGCCACTAGGCAGGGAGTGGGGACACAGGGCACATCTGTGCAAGCAGAAGGAATCGAGTAATGTCAGGATGTCCTATGCATGTGATGGGGGGACAGGTGGAAGAGGCCACCTCGGGCAGGTTTTTTTTAATGAATTTATTTGAAAGGCAGAGTTACAGAGAAAAAGAAGGAGAGAGCGATCTCCCATCCATCTGTCGGTTCATTCCCCAGATGGCCGCAACTGCCAGGACTGGGCCAGGTTGAAGCCAGGAGCTTCAACTTTCGCTGCTTTCTCAGGCACCTTAGCAGGGAGCTGGATCAGAGACGGAGCAGCCGGGACTGGAACTGGCACCCACAGGGGATGCTGGCATTGCAGACAGCAGCTTAACCCACTGCACCACAACACCGGCTACTGCCTCAGGCCAGCCTGACCCTGCCTTCCCCGCCCGTAGGTGAGCCAGGCCAGCTGGTGGGCCGCATCATCCAGCAAGACCCCCTGCGCCGTTTTGATGGCTACCTCAATCAGGGCGCCAACAACAAAAAGATCGCCAAGGACGTCTTTAAGAAGGGGGACCAGGCCTACCTCTCTGGTGCGTCCACAACCTGCAAAGCTTTGTCCAGAGGGAGTGGGGAGAGCCCTCTACCACCTGCAGAGAACACCATGCTTGGACCCCCCCCCCACCCCCGTCCCAGCCCTGTGGGGCAGCAAATCCTTGGGCTCCAGCGAGGCCAAGGGCCGAGCTGGTCTCAGCCCTGCTTCACCCACCACAGGTGATGTGCTGGTGATGGACGAGCTAGGCTACCTGTACTTCCGGGACCGCACGGGGGACACGTTCCGCTGGAAAGGCGAGAACGTGTCCACCACTGAGGTGGAAGGCACCCTCAGCCGCCTGCTGGACATGGCCGACGTGGCGGTGTACGGCGTCGAGGTGCCTGGTAGGTGTGGGGAGGGCCGGTGCCCATGGGGAGGCGCTGCCAGGGGCACTGCTGGCTACTCATTGTCCACCCTGTTGCCTCCAGGAACTGAGGGCCGGGCTGGAATGGCTGCTGTGGCCAGCCCCGCAGGCACCTGTGACTTGGAGCACTTCGCACAGGTCTTAGAGAAGGAGCTGCCCCTGTATGCCCGGCCCATCTTCCTGCGCTTCCTGCCTGAGCTGCACAAAACAGGTCTGTCTCTTCCCTGCTCCGGCTGTCCACGCCCACGCCTGGCTCCTGCCCTTTTGCCTCTGGAACGAGCCTGGTGGCTGTGGTCTGAGCTTTGCCCATAGCCTTGCCCTGTAGTGGGTAAACTGACCTCCCCTATACTTGGGGCAGACTGAGCCAGGAGGGGGAGGAAGGTCACTGTTGGTTAGTGGCAGGTGTTTGTTTCTTGGAGCTTTTGGAGTTGGACAGGAGGCAGCCAGAGGACAAGGAATTCCAGAGATAACGGGAATAGAGAGCACGCTGACGGAATAACAAGGGGAGGGGTCTTTGGGAGTGATTGGCAGGCTCCCCTGGGGAGGTGACAGTCAGCTGAGATCTGTATGAATGGGCGGACTTTCTGGGAGGAAGCTCCCTGGTGTGGGGACAGCAAGCATGAGGACAGCAGGAGGAGTTTGGACACTGGAGGGTGGAAGGAGGCCCCCAGAGCTGGGGTGAGGGGCAGTCAGTGGCATGAAGTGGCAGAGAGGCCACCAGAGGCCGGAGCCCCAGGGCCTTGTGGGCCAGGGTAGGAGTCTGGGCTGTCCTGGGGCCAGTTGGGAGCCACAGAGGTGTCTGAGCAGGGTAGTCACCTGGTCTTGATCGTGTCCTGCAAAGATCTCTGTGCTGTGTGGAGTGGGGGGAGCAGGGAGATGAGGGAGGGTTGGCGTAGCTGTCCGGGCGAGAGGTGAGCAGGGGGCCCGTAGTCACCATCCTACACTGGGTCCAGCGATGGCTCTCAGGAGTTCCCTGGTGGGCAGGAAGTGCCGAGGCTCCTGCCCAGACCCTCCCTGGCCCCCTCAGCCCTCATTGCCCCTCCCTGTGGCTCACCCTTGGACACACCTGACTGCCCCTGCCTTGAGGTGGGCCCTCTCCAACTGCTGCGGCCCTGCCAGGTGGTAGACACCTGTCCTTCTGGGGGCCCCTGAGGTGGGGGTGGGGATGGTGTCCTGGGACAGGCCGGGGACATGGGTGCCAGGCTCCTGACGAGACTGCAGCTCTGAGGACTGGACGATCCTTGACTTCCGTCCAGGAGGCGTGGAATGAACCGATGCCCATCTCACCTGTCCCCAGGGGCTCCACACAGCCACTTGATCTGCACGGTTCTGTGGGCCAGAGCTTTGGGGGTGAAGGTTAGCTGACCAGGTCTTTTGTTGGCCTCGACCCAAACAGCTGCCATCACCTAGTGGCTCGGCTGAGCGGAGGGGCTCAGCCGGCCTCCCTCGCGTGCGGCCCTCGCTGACGCTGCATTGCGGTGAGTGTGCGTGGCCACCGCCGTCCAGTCCAGTAACGAGTACCCTGAAAGCCGCTGAGCACTTGCAATGTGATGGGGTCACCAAGGGGTGAAATTCAAATTTTGCTTTTTTTTTTAAGACTAATTTATTTATTTATTGGAAAGAGTGACAGAAATGCAGGGAGAGACAAAGATCTTCTATCTGGTGGTTCACTCCCCAAATGGTTGTAATGGCCAGGGCTGGGCCCGGCCAAAGGCAGGAGCCCAGAACTCCACCCGGGTCTCCCACGTGGGTGGAAGGGACTACTTGGACCATCTTCTGTTACTCTCCCAGGTGCTTTAGCAGGGAGCTGGATCCAGGCGAAACAGCCAGGACTTGAATTGGCAATCTGATATGGGATGCTGGTGTCACAGGTGGTGGCTTGACCCACTGAGCCACAACACCGGCCCAGATGTTGCTTATTTTAATTCATTTAACCTTAAGTGGCCACTGAGGGCAGTGGATGCAGGTGTTGGGACCCCACCTGGAGTGCTTCGTCCCTGCCCCTCACCCTTCCCGAGCTTGCCTGGTCTCAAGGCACCCCCAGAGGGTGGGAGGGGAAGCCGCAAGGCCCCTCGAGGCCTGACTCCTCTGCTGCCCTGCTGCGTGCTGCTGTCAAAGCAGGTCATCGGGCCAGCTCAGATACGGGGGCGGAGGAGACTCGAGCTCCTGCCAAGAAAAGCAGCGAAGCCGTCTTAGAGAGGCGGGGCAGAGGCGTCTGGCCGTCCTCTGGCAGCTGTCACACCTGGGGTCAGACCCCAGCTCTGCCACGGAGCAGCTGTGTGGCTCCCGCCCTGACGCGTGCTCTCTGAGCATCCGTCCTTAGCCTCTGCATGGTGGGGGCCAACGCCCTTGATCAGATGACACACGGCTCACGTACCGGTGGGGTAAACAAAGCTCTGGGCGGTTTCGGAGGTGCTACGGACGCACCATCTTGGCATCAAGCGAATACAGTGGAGCCCGTGCCTCGAGGCGCTCTGAGGGAACCATGACAATCAAAAGACCCATTCTACTGGGGACTGTCACCAAGTAGCTGCCCCATCTGCAAGCTGGGTGCGTGAGCAAAGCTGCCACTGGCGCCCCGCCCTGCCATGGCCTCTCTGAGAGGCAGTTCCTGGTGAAGCGACACAGCATTCTTTGCAAACTGTGAAGGGCTGTGCCCCTCCCACACCGCCCCTTCCACGTGTCCGTTCGGGCCCTCCTCTCCCCTTCCTCAACACCAGCGGTCAGGTCCTGGGGCTCGGGCCCCTGCCCTGCACTTCCTGTCTTCCCTTCTCCCCCAGGGACCTACAAGCTCCTTAAGACAGAGCTGCGAAAGGAAGGCTTTGACCCAGCTGTCGTGAAAGACCCGCTGTTCTACCTGGACGCCCGCCAGGGCCGCTACGTCCCCCTGGACCGACAGGCCTACACCCGCATCCAGGCCGGGGAAGAGAAGCTGTGATTTGCCCCCCACGTCCCTCTGAGGGTCCTGGGCAATGCCAGACCAAAGCAAGCCGGGCCTGGCCCCTCCAGCCCAAGGTGCTGGCCCCTCCCTCCACGACTGCCAAGTGACTCACTGCCGCCCGCCCACCCGCCCTGCGGAGGTTTTCTGTGAAAGCCACCTGTCCAGGCTCGCCTTCTGGGCTGGGGGTTCTCGGGGCTCTGGGGTGAGCAGGACCCCCTCAGGATGATGTCTTGAGTCAGGCAGGGCAGGGGGAGGGGTCACCAGGCTCTCCCGAGAGCAGGGAGCTTGTCACTGGGACCAAGGCAGAAGCCCGCAGACTCAGGAAGCCAGCAGGAGGGGCACGCGCAGTGGCTGGCACTGATGGTGAAGAGCGTCCTGCCCAGAGCTGCTCCGCCTCACGCCGGCCTGCTCACACCTCGGGGGCGGGGCCGCAGAGGAGGACCCTGTGTGGCCCCCACGCCCCACCTGCAGCAGGACGTCAGGACACAGCTCCCCATGTCTGTCTCCCCACTCCCCCATCCTCCTCAGGCAGGGCCTTCTGTCCGTAGGTCCATCTGTGTCACTGTCTCTGTCCCAGTCCCTGCCTGGCTGAGAGGAGGATGGGTGGGGGAGGGGGAGGGCTCAGGGGCCAATAAACTCCGCCTTGACTCCGTCCAGCCTGAGTGCCTGCCCTCTGGCCCGTGCACCCACCTGCCATTCATGTGTCCCCTGGACACGGATGGGCAGGGAGCTGGCCTGACCCCTGTGCTGGCTCAGCTGGGCGGTTCCCTGGGAGCTTCAGGCTTCACACCAGCTTTGTCACTTAGCAGCTTGTGGCCGAGGGCACGTGACTCAGTCTCCTCACCTGTGAAATGGGAATGGTCGGCTAAGGCTTCAGAAGCCAGAGGGAGCCATTAAGAGGAAGGGGGTGTCGAGAGGCTTTGAGGGCCTGCACGTTGTCTGCCTGTGGGGTCTCTTCCCAATTGTTGAGGGCCCTGTGGCAGCTCACAGAGCCGCACTCCCAGAGTGGGGCACTCAGCGGGCTCTTGGGCCCCATGGCAGGAGTCACACCCAGGCTGGAAGCCCAGCGCCCACCAGGACGGAGTTCCAGGACAGCCCACGGCAGGCCTCTTTCATTGTTGAAGGCTACCATGAGTCTTTGAGGCAAGTTTTATAAACAGGCTTTTGAAGGAAAGAACCAGAATCGGAGATTTTGAGTCACATGGCCAAAGTCACAAAGCAAGTAGTGGGGGCTGGAATGCGAACCCACGCCCTGTGCCCTTCCTGCAGCACCACCCTGCCTGCTGGACATGTGCCTCTGGGGTGGACACGGCCACACCCAGGCGCAGCAGCTGACAGCTGAGGAGGAAGGGGCCAGGCCAAGAACTCTGGGTGCACACTGAGGGTTTCTCAGGGAACCGGGACGCTGTGCAGAAGGCAGTCTGGGGGAGACAGGACTGGTGGCCACGGCCAGCAGAGGGCGCGCAGTGCTCAGAAAATCCAGTCCTGGCCCCACAGCTCAGCTGAGGAAAGAGCCAAGTCCCACCTCACCCCAAGCAGGCACCCTGTGGGGGGTCAAGTCACTGCGGCTTTGTGTCTTTAACCCTCAGTAAGGAGCCCCTGCGAGGGATGGAGCTCCCAGGGCGCAGCCCTCCCTCCTTCCAGGCCCAGCAGCCAGGGGAGGCTGTGGACTGACAAGCCGCGGGATTCAAGTCCCAGCTCCTACCCCGGAATCCCTGCCTCGGGAGAACTGTGACCTGGGGCCGCTGTCCGCTCAGTGGTCGGTAGTGTAAGAGAAAGGGTGAGATCCCAGGCTGCGCTGTTCGTCGCCTCCACGCCAGCCACGCCCTGTCACCCACCCGATGGAGAGGGACTGGGGCCCTGTGGCCCTCGGGTCTGCGTCTGAGCCCCGTCTGCTCACCAAGTGCACGAACGCCAGCTGCGGGCCTGATGTGTATCTAGCGCCCCACAGCTCGGCGAGCACTCTGACCGAGTGTACGGTGTGTACCGAGCAGCCCAGCAAAGGCTGGGACCTAACCTCCTGGGGCAGGGCGGGAGGGCAGAGCGTCCCTGAAGGCTGTGTGGCCAGAGCTGCAGGGGTCACTTCTGTGGCTCGTCCTGGAGCCCGGAGGAGCTGGCTGTTGCTGTGGCTTCCCGGTCACTGCTTTTGCAGCAGGCTGAGTGGTTAGGGAAAGGGGGTGTGTGTGTTGAGGCAAGAGAGAAATGCACCATCGGTGGCCCCCACTTGCACACCCCCAGACTGGGAACCTTGTTATCAGGCAGGACCTGCTTCCCTCCACTCTGACCGACCGATGGCCACCCTATCTGGAGCACTCCTGCCCTGGACACGGTGCTCTGGGCTTTGTGAAACGCTCGAACACGGAGCTGACGGGACTTCTGCCCCCTTCCACAGACCACAGAGGCTGGGAGGGAAGTGCCCCTCCTGGGCCCGGCTGCAACCCGCCGGCCACGCCCAGGGAGACTGGAAGGGGCCAGCCGCCCGGGACAGGCAAGTGGCTGCCTGGGCCGCGGCATGCTGTATCACTTTCAGTCCCTGGGAAGAAGGTTAAATACCTCGAGGGGCCCGGGGAGGCGGCGGCCGGCGGAGGAGCAAACCAGTGACTTTCAAAGGGGCCTGAATGCCGGGCCGGCCCCTCCCGTGAGGAGGGGGCTGCTTCCTCCCGCCTAATGATATTCTGCGCTCAGCCCTCCCGTGTGGCGGCAGTTTAACCCGAGCCAGGGCGGATTTCTTTCTCACTGATCTCAGCTTGACACCCGATTAGCACAAGAAAGGGGGGAGGAAGCCTGCGAGAGGCGCCTCCCAGCCTCCCGGGGCGCGCGAGGGGCGCAGGCGGGAAGACAAAGGGCAGCGGGCAGGGGGCACCCGCGCCCTCGCCTCCCCCACCGGCCGCGCCATTGTCTCCCGAGGAGCTTCGGAGAAGCGGAGGGCTGCACGCGGGCTGGCCAGCCTGCTGGAGAGGATGAGGGGCCCAGGCCCGTTAGGAGTGGGTCTGAGGGGAAGGCATTGGGTTGAGCCTAGTCCCAGGGGAGGCAGGGAGGGTCCTGAGGGCTCTAAAAGCAGGGGTTGAGGTGTGACGCGTAGGGGTCCTTGGACAAGCCACCCATTTGGAGCCTCAGTTTTCTCATCTGAGAAATGGGGTTAATTGCTAGCCCGAGAGGAATGAGGGAATGGCTGTAAAGCACCCAGCAGGCACAAAGTGGGCATTCAGTAGTCCGTGAGTGAATGGGCAGTTGGGCTGCAGCCCCGGCTCCCCCTCCATAGCACAGGGCACACTCGCGGTCTGTCCGTGGGTTGTGCACCTCGGTGTCCCCAGCATCAGCAGTGCTGGCGAGTGTGGAACGGGTGAAGCTCCTCCACTTCCCGGCGCTCTGGGCCAGCCCCGGGAGGCAGCAGTTCCCGGGGCCGGGGGACCGGAGGCTGGAAGGGCCCAGGATGCTCTGCAGGTGTTGCTGGTGGAGGGAAGCCAAGAAACGGCCTTGGGCAGGGATGCAAAAGCCCTCGTTGGCTGGTTCACTCAGTGAGCACTCAGACCCTGCAGTGTGTAGACGTCTCACTGCTCGACTAAGAGCCCCCGGAGGAATCAGACGGGGCCATTTGGTCCCAGACTGGCCCTAGAGTTGGGGAAAGTGGCCGACGTACACAGCACGGTGACGTGGGGCCTCTGCATTTACCAAGGACGCCTCCGAGGACCAGGGCTGTCCCCTGTGTCTGAGCAGTGCCCTGGAGCAGTGTGTCCAAGGGGCTGCACAGTGAAGCCAGGGCCAAAGGAAGGGAGGGGGAGGCAGGCAGGAAGGCGAGGCAGGACTCGGGGCTGCAAAATCAGATGACGAGGGACACCTAAACTTGGTGAGCAGGTGTGGGAGGGAGATCAGCGAGAACAGCCTCCCGCCTGGTGTTTCGGTACCCCGAGACGGGGGACACAGAGGAACTGTTGTCACTACAACCATGTGAGGCGGGGCTGTGGCACCCCCATCTTACACAGCTGGGGGACTGGGCGTTTGCGGAGTGGTTAAGATGCCACTTGGGACTCCCGCATCCCCTGCCAGATTGCTGAGGTTCGAGTCCCGGCTCCGCTGTTGATGTGCACCGCGGGAGGCACGCCCACGCGGGAGACCCAGACTGGGTTCCTGGCCTTGGCCTGGCGGAGCCCTGGCCTCTGGGGGCATTTGGAGCGTGAACCGGTGATGGGGAAATCTCTCTCTGTCTCTCTCTCTGCCGGAAGTGGTGGCACCTGGATGTGAAGGTGGCGCTAACCACCAGGCCACACCACCATCCTCCACCAGTGCCGAGTTCCATTTTGGAAGTGTTGCTGTTTGGAGGCTCAGGGCGTCCACTTCACCTCGCCCCATTTTTGCGGTGGGCTTTTGCAAGAGGCTCCAGTGTGTCCATCTCCCCTCCTCCTCTCCCACTCTGCATACTGCGACCAGAAGAGAGCAAGGACGCAAGCCCTTGACCCGCTGTGTGCGGCTTCCCGGGTGCGTTAGCAAGGAGCGGGACCGGAAGTGGAGCAGCCGGCACGCAGATGGGACGCTGGCTTAGTGCGCGGCCCCGCAGAGCCTGCCGCCGGCGACCCAGTGCAGGGAGGTCTGATAACGCCGGTCCTCCCACCGCTGCCACAGGCCGAGAGGCTCACTTGCCCGGCCCCTGGCCACTTTCCAGTCTCGTCCCTTACCCGGCTTCCGGCCGCCCTCTCCTGGTGCCCCAGCGCCCCCTGCCCTCCCTGGGGCGCTCCCGGGCGCTCCTCTCGCCTCACATCCACCTTGTGACTCGGGGCGGCCTTCTCTTTGAAGCGCCTACTTCTCCAGGTCACCACGGCTCCCGGTCTGCGGCTCTAGGCGGCCTAGCGTGGGTGTGACTACGTTTATTAAGCGACAGGGCGTCTTCGCCGCCGGCCCGCGCCCTTGCCCGGCACCCCCGCTTCCACAGAGCCGGGCGCACGGAGGTGCGGTCAGCACACCCGGATCGGCGTGGCAACGCCGCAGACAGGGAGCCGATGGCTCAGGAGAGCGACCTCCGGGCCCGAGTTGGGGGTCACTTACAATTCCAGTCACACGAGTGGACGGGCCCGCCCAGCGATACACTGACCGAAGAGATTTGTAACTAACACCAGATAGTAAAGTAGCTCAGAGTCGCGTCGCAAAGATGTCGGAGGCTCTCCCCCGCCTAGTCGTGGCGTCGTACAAGCCGCTTTCCACCCCGGGTCTCTGAGCCCGATCCCTAACGCGCCGAGGGACACTAACCCCCAAACTCCCCCAGCACCCGGTGACCTACCCCTGTCGCCCCGCCCCCTCCATCCCGTCCTCCAATAGCTAGGGAGAGTGGAGTCCCAGGGCACCGCCTCTTCCGCCTACTCGGCAAGGCGGGCGGAAGTGAGCGGGCGCTCCGGAAGTGGAGGGGCGTTTCCTACGAGCTCGGCTTCCTCAACATGGCAGCGCCCTTGTCAGTGGAGGTGGAGTTCGGGTGAGTCACGGAGTTGGGGCGCCGCAGGGAAGGGTTGAAGCTGTCGGGCCCGGGACTCACCTCCCTTTGCCTTGGGGTCTGACACGGCCGAGTCGCCGAGGCCCCTGGCGCCTGCTGGGATCTGCGCCGCTGGCCTCAGTCGCAGAGGCTCGGTCTCCCTTGGCGACGAGGCCGTATGTCCGAGAATAGCGGCGCACACGCGGGTAGGGAGGTGCGCCCCGCGTACTCCTCGGTGTTCTGAGGCCTGCGGGCTCGTGGCGCCGCGGGTTGCTTCTTGACCCTCGCGGGCCCATCTGGCTGGCGTCTGAGTTCCTAGCCTGGTCCTCCGCTCCCTGGTTTCTCCCCGCCGCAGTTTGCGCTCACGCGTCTCGTGCCTTGTGCCCCGTGGGATATGTGGTCAGTCTCTAGGGGTTTTACCAGTACTCAGTGGCTTTCATCCCAGACGGTAAACTCGTCGAGTGCCTTCTGCAGGTCTTGGCGGGGGTGAAGACAGGGCTGACACAGTATGCACGAGCTGACAGGTGCAGGGACGGGGACCAGCGAAGGAGCAGGCCTCGAGGCGCAGCCTCGCCTTACCGCACTCTGAAAGGTGGTCATATGGTTTCCTGTTTGTTTGTTTGTTTGTTTTAAGATTTACTTATTTATTGGAAAGTCAGTTACACAGAGAGGAGAGGCAGATTGAGAGAGAGAGAGGTCTTCCATCCGCTGGTTCACTCCCCAGATGGCTGCAACGGCCGGAGCTGTGCCAGTCCGGAGCCAGGAGCTTCTTCCAGGTCTACCACGCGGGTGCAGGGGCCCAAGGACTTGGGCCATCTTCTACTGCTTTCCCAGGCCATAGCAGAGAGCTGGATGGGAAGTAGAGCAGCCAGGACTTGAACCGGTGCCCATATGGGGATGCCGGCACTGCAGGCGGTGCCTTTACCTGCTACGCCACAGCATCGGCTCCCTGTCATAGGGTTTCTTTCTTTTCTTTTTAATTAATTTATTATTTTATTTTTAATTAATCTATTTTTAATTAATTTATTTGCTGCTTGAAAGGCAGAGTTATAGAGAGAGAGGGATAGACAGAGAGATCTTCCATCTGCTGATTCACTTCCCAAATGGCTGCAACAGCCAGTTAGGCCAGGCCGAGCCAGGAGCTGCATCCAGGTCTTCCATGTGGGTGCAGGGGCCCAAGCAGTGGGGCCATCTTCGCTGCTTTCCCAGACACACTAGCAGGGAGCTGGATTGGAAGTAGAGCAGCCGGGACTCGAACCAGCACCCACGTGGCTACCAGGTTTGCAGACAGCAGCTTATCCTGCTGTACCACGACGCCAGCTGCATCACATGGTTTGAAAACTAAGACAAACTGCAAAGCTTAGCAAGAAGATAAATAAACCAAAACCCTGAAGGGTGTGCACTTTCCGGAGTCAGTGGAGAGGCAGACTAAACGTGTGTGTACGTGGAGATAAACAAACCGAAGGCTGTGTGAAAGGAGAAGTCTGGAACGGGAGTCGCTCTGCCCAAATGCCTTTCCTCCCATTGGCTGCCCCTGGTTCTCATGTTTCCCTTCACTGGGCAGTTCATTCACCAGTCACTTACTGAGCGCCTACCATGTGCCAGGCAGTGAGCCAGACGCCGAGGACACAGAGATAAATGGAACTCTGTCCCTCCCTGCAGTGTTCAGCGTTCCCGTGCCTTGGAAGGGCACAGGCGCGTGAATGGTGAGTGCATTTTAATTGGCGACGTTGTCTGGCCGCTTGGATTCAGCTGCACTGTGTGGGTCTGGCCTCCTGACTATTGCGCCCTGCTGACCCTTGGCCCAGCTCTGCCCCTCAAAGACTGGAGTTCTAGGAGGCCGCCTGCTGCCTTGGCAGGGCCTCCCTGGAGCGGAAAGGCAGAGAGCAGGCTGCCAGTGCCAGGTTTGCTTCCAGCCGGCTTGCCTTCCTCTCACTGAGTTAGCCACGGTTTTGCTCTTCAGCATGATTCCTGTCTGCCGGGTGCTGCGCTGGCAGTGGTGGGGAAGTCCTGCGAGGAGGACACAGCCCTGGCCCTTGCAGCTGGCACGCCGGTGTGATTGCCCCTTTTCTGGCCAGGCCACCTCTCATCTCAGCCTCTTACTCCCAAGAGCAGTAGTGAGCCCAGCAAGCCGGGACAGCATCTCCCCACCCACACACAGGGTACTGTGGGAGTGCGGCTGTCGGGGAGGCGAGACTGCCCAGGGTGCGTGGCAGGCCCAGGCCCTCTCTCTGACCTGTCTTCCGTCTGTGCCGTGCCTCGCCCTTCAGGCTTACTAAGTGGCCATGCCCGTCGTCGTCCCGTGTCCCTGCCCCCCCCCCCCGCCCTGATCTGGAAGCGTCTGGGTTAGGACCTTGCTTCCAGCCCACTGGCAGGTGCCAGCAGGTCAGCTCCTCAGAGGTGTAGGGCTTCCAGGTCTCCCACACTCCCCCCCCCCCCACTCGCCAGTACCCATTTCCCCCGCCCTTTGGCCCTCTGGACTGGCCCCAACAGAAGGTCTTCTCAGGTTGCCCGGGACTCAGCGTATGCAGCGCCTGTGTGTTGTGGGTCCCTGCAGCCCAGGCTGCAGAAGCTGAGATGTGAAACTATCCCTGTCCCATCCGTTTGCCTCCTTGAGTTGTGGAGACACTGGCAGAGGGAAGGATTGCCACTGAGGTCTGAGAAGAAGTGGGAGAGACGGGTGTTTCTGTTCATTCCACAAACGTTTGTTGAGTACCTGCTTTAGCCCTCCTTTAGGCAACGCATCCTAGCAGGAGGATGGCTGGGAAGGGACTGTGGGGGAGGGGTGGGAGTAAACAAATACACTGGTATACGTGGTATTACAGGGTGAGGACAAACTAGAGAGCAAAGGAGTTTGGAGGGTGCACCTGTCACAGGACTCAGCAAACACGCCCACCAAGGACTGTGTGAAGGAAGCTGGATTCTCTTAGTTGCCTCTGACTAGCACATCCCTCCAAGACTGACTTCCTGCAGAGGGTCTGGCCTTGGGTCTCTTGGGGCCACCTGTTTGCGTCCCTGAATGACTGTGGAGGCTGGGCGTGTACCTTCCCCCACTCCAGATGTGGTGTTAGCAGATAGCTGTCCCCTCCCGGAGGAGTCTGGGAAACTAGCGGTGATGGGTCACTCTCTGAACCAGACTGGTTCTCCCGTCATCTGCTTGCCAAGGGAAAAACAGGCTCGGCCTCCGAGCCTGGCACCACCAGGTTTGGCCTCCGTTGGTTGTTTGCCTGGATCCCAGTGTCTCCAGTTCCCACCCCTCTTCTCTGACTCCCAACTCCTGCGCCCCTCGCCGGTCACCCTCCCCCAGCCCAGCTGCCGCATGCGCCAGCCCCCACCCCGGAGAAAACTAGGCTGTTGGAAGAGGATAAATGGAGGCTCTGTGCGGGCCTGCAGCTGAGATGGCCCTGTGCGCGGCCACAGATGGGCCTCCTCGCCCCTCCACGCTCCTGCGCCAACAAAGTGTGACCTTGTTTGGATGACAGTCGCCCCATGTTTCCCCGTGACAATGCTTGCCTTGCCTTTGCCTCCCAGGGAGCTGTCTCAGGCCATCTCTGTTCCCTGAAATTGGGGAAGGGTGGTGGGATGGGAGCAGCGTGTCCACCACAGGAGCCTATTGAGGCCTTCTCAGTTACAGACCCGTGTGAGGGCTGAGAGGGGAATCAGGACACAGAGGAAGCCACCGTGCGGGCCACCGAAAGGGCCCAGGTGCCCACACCGGAAGCCCTGGCTTCTGGCCGTGGCTGCAAACATGTCTGCCGGCCCGCCCTTCCCTTGGCCAGGTGCTGGTGCACAGAAATGAACCAGACTGCCCTCAAGGGGCTTTCTGACCCATGAGGAGTCCTCTGCGTTGTGCCCAGGCGTTGGGGGCTGAAGCAGAACCAGTTAAATGAAAATCCTAGTTCAGCCACTGCCTGTCTGACTTTGGACAAGTCACTTAACTTCTCTAGGCCCCAGTCTACTCAGTCAAAAGCAGTTGATACTGGGGCCCGCGCTGTGACACAGTAGGTTAATCCTCCTCCTGCAGTGCCAGCATCCCATATGGGCACCGGTTCGTGTCCCGGCTGCTCCTCTTCTGATCCAGCTCTCTGCTGTGGCCTTGGAAAGCAGCAGAGGATGGCCCAAACGCTTGGGCTCCTGCGCCCACGTGGGCAGTCCGGAAGAAGCTCCTGACTCCTGGCTTCAGATCAGCCCAACCCCAACCGTTGTGGCATTTGGGAAGTAATCCAGCACGTGGAGAACCTCTCTCTGCCTCTCCCTCTCTATCTGTAACCCCGCCTCTCAAAGAAATAAATATTTCTTTAAAAAAAAAAAAAAAGAGTTGATTCTGTCTGCCTCCCTCCCTCCTCTGAGGAGCCTGAGGACGAGAGGAGGTGCGGAGCATCTTCTGCGGGTGAGGTAACGAGAGCAGTTGTCCACACTCCATGCCGAGCCCAGGGCACGCTTGGCTGCCTGCGCTGCAGTGTGCCCCCAGGCCAGTGGCAGGTGGCATGGACAGGGCATTTCAAACCCTCGCCTGGCCAGAGGAAACCCTGATATGCACGGGGTCTCCAGAGTGCCTCACAAGGGCTTCTCGACACGTTTGAGAGGGAAGATGGGCCCGCACGCCCAGGGTCCCCACCCTGCAGCCAGCGGCTCCCAAGTCTGCCCTGCCCCTCGGGAAGGCAGTCTGCACGTGGGTGTCCGCTTATTGCAGCTCCCCTCTGCCCCATGAGGAAGTCACACCCTGTACCCCAGTACGCCGGCACACCAGGTGGTCCTGAACCTTGGTCTCTGCATCCCCTGGGCTTCTGCTGCCAGCCTACTTGAGTTTCCCGTCTACGGCTGCCCCGCTGTTTGCAGGAGCTCACCTTTCTCTCTGCCCTCCTTTGCAGGGGCGGCGCAGAGCTCCTGTTTGACGGCGTCAAGAAGCATCAGGTGACCTTGCCTGGACAGGAGGAGCCCTGTGAGTACTGCCTTTGAGCCTCAGCCCCGTTCCGGTGGGGATGGGTCGCGGTTCCCTGGCCAAGGGGAGGGAGGAAGAGAAGACGTCAGGTTGCTCTGCGCGGCCACCTCCAGTCAGCCAGCTTCGTAGAAGGAAGTGGTGCAACTTAGAACTATCTCATCCTTCCATGGGGCGGGGGGGGGGGGGGGTGTGTGTGTCTTACTCAGACAAGAGGTGTTTCTGTTTGCTTACTTGGTTTTTAATTTTTTGAAAAAGAGGAAGGGACAGAGATAGCCAGAGATCTCCCAGATGTCCACAGTAGCCAAGGCGGGCCGCGTGGGAGCCTGGAACTCAAGCTGGGTGGCGGGGACTCGAGCACCTGAGCCGTCACTGCCGCCTTCCTAGGAGGCTGCAGCGGGAGCCAGGTGGGCCCCAGACCCGGCTACCTCGGGGTGAAATGTGGGCGCCCGAGTGGCCTCCTTCCTAATGCTGCGCCAGACGCCTGCCCTCCAGACGAGGCGGAATCCCCTTACGGCTTCAGGCTGTGTCCTCACCTTTCCGACCCTTGGTGTTCTCGGCCGGGCTGCCGCCACGTCGTAATCCCACCTCTCCGACTCGCTGAGAGGGAGAGACGAGGTAGACGTGCGCCTCTGTTATCGGCGTCTCTGTCACAGCAGAGAGGTTCTCCTGCAGGTGGTGGCCTTCCCTGAGAGGGGAACGCACTCCCGGGCTCACCTCATGTTCGGAGGATTTAGATTAGGGGAAAGGCATCGGCCAAAATGGAGGAGGGAGGCGAACTTAGGGAAATGGATTTTCCCCCACTGGTTCATACAAATACTTGTTCATCTTTCCTGAGCAGTTATATTCTGAGGCCTTGCTGTGTGGCAGGCCGTGTGCTAGTCAGTGGGGAGACAGCTGGGAGCAGGAGCCGGTCCTTGTGTTCCAGGTGGGAGGTGTGATGGGTTCACCTGCTGCGGTCCAGGGGGAGCTGGTACAGCCTCAAGACAGGGGCTGCACGTGGCAGCTGTTGAGGCCTTGTGCAGCCCTTGCAGTGGCGTCCAGCAAGAGCAGAAGGGTCAGGGATGGGAGCCCAGTGTCCACCTGTGGCTGAGGAGCAGGGGAGGTGAGCGGTAGGAGGTGGTCAAGGGAGATTCAACAGAAGTTTGCAGCTGGACGCACGTGTGCCAAGAATCAAGCACGCGCGGCTGCCCAGATTCACTGGCTGCCGTGGCTGCCTCCAGCCCTCCCTTGGGTGTGTGTGCCACGTGCAGGGCTGGGGAGCAGGACACTGCCCACCTTCAGGGGCAGACATGCATGCTGATGGATTGCGTGTCCCTGTGGGGTGGGGGAAGCCCCAGGGGCGGTAAAGGTGACTGTTTCTTAGCTTGACAGATGGCCAAGCAGCCTTGGCAACCTTGGGAGGGAGCAAGGGGCTCTTGGAAGAAGGCTCTCAAAGATTCAGCCTCGCAGACCTCACCTGGAAGTCTATTGAAATATCACAGTTTGTTTCCCTTCAATTTGCTAGGCGTGATATCCTGCACAGTGTCGTAATTCCTGCCCCTTCTCCCTCGTTCACTGACTGCACACTCAGCGAGTGCAAGTGCAGTAGTGGTTTCTTCTTTCATGCACTTGGCAAGTGGTTTTTGAGCGCCTCCTTTGTGCAAGGCTGTGCTAGTTGCTGGTGTTCAGTGATGAGCAAACAGATGGGGGTTTGCCTCAGTAGAATTAACAGTGTGATGGAACTGAAGCCAGGAAATAAACAAGTAAACAAATGTATAAGCGGAGCATTACGACTCTCATGATTGGCATGAGGAAGACAAAAGGGGCTTTGAATGGGACTAACAGGTGGTCAGGCAAGGCCTCTTTAAGGCCGTGACATTGAGGCTAAGGCCTGAAGAATGAATGGCACCAGCGTAAGAAATAGCAGAGGGAGAGCAGGGATGCTTGGAGGCCTGTCCCAAGCAAGTGGACAGCACTTGCCAAGGCCTCGGGATAAAATGTCTCGGGGTGGTCGAGGAGCTGAAGGAAGGCCAGGGTCCTGGGGGCACAGGCCAGGTCTGGAGTGGGAGGCAGAGTTTCGGTTTGTTGTGCAGATCATCATTGAGTTCCTAGGAGGGAGCTACTATTAGTAGTCCCACCTTATAGAGTACAAACTGGGCCAGTGTTGGGTAGCAGGTTATCTGCTGCCTGCAACGCCGGCATCTCTTGTGGACACCCATTTAAGTCCCAGCTGCCCCAGTTCCAGTCTAGCTCCCTGCTTATCGTCTGGGAAAAGCAGTGAAAGATGGCCGAAGTGGTTGGGCCCCTGCCACCCGGGGGGGAGACTCAGAAGAAGCTCCTGGATCCTGGTTTCAGCCTGGCCCAGCTTTGGCAGTTGCTGCCATTTGGGGAGTAAACCAGCAGATGGAAGACCTCTTTCTCTGTCTCACCCTCTCTCTCTCTCTCTGTAACTCTGCCTTTCAAATAAATAAATAAATCTTTTTAAAAAATTAAAAAGTTGGAAACCCAGACTCAGATGCCAGGGGTCTCTCCCTCAGTCACTCAGCTATATAAATGGCAGTACTGGGATTCAGAACCAGATTTCAGGGTCTCCGGAGTGCTGGGAGTGTGGCACTAAGCCAGCAGGATTTGTCCCAGGAGCACCTGGAGTCACTGACGCCTCAACCTCCAGTCCATTCGCCAAGTTTTACACCTTCATCCACTTGTACCTTCAGAGGCCACTTCAGTTCGATTAGTGACCCCAACAGATATTATTTTTTAAATTAATTTATTTATTTGAAACGCAGTTACTGAGAGGCAGAGAGAGAGAGGGAGGGAGGGAGAGGGAGAGGGAGGGGGGGGGTCTACCATATGCTGGTTCATTTCACAATTGGCTGCCACAATGGCTGGAGCTTGCCCGATCTGAAGCCAGGAGCCAGGAGCTTCTTCCGGGTCTCCCACGTGGGTGCAGGGGCCCAAGCACTTGGACCATCTTCCACTGCTTTCCCAGGCCATAGCAGAGAGCTGGATCAGAAGTAGAGCAGCCAAGACTTGACTGCTGTAGCCACCAAGCTGGTTGGCAGCTGCCACACCTCATCCTGGCACATGTGAGCCCACCGGGAGTGTAGGCCCCCAGTGCTGCTGGGAAAGCCTTACTGTCCCTTCAAGCCTGTGCCCAGATCTGTCATCTGGCAGCCTTCCCAGCCCACGGCTGCCACTTGGCCAAACAGGTCTTGCAGACTCCAGCCGAGACAATAGCAGCCATAAGGTTGTGGGTTGTGACAGGTCGCACAAACCAGGGAACGCATGGATCTCTGAGCCAGGAGAGAACTTCCACCCAGCCAGCCTGGGAGAAGGGGTGCATGAGTCAGGCCAAGCCCCGGCCCTGTGCAGTTACAGTCAGTGATCTCCTTGGGCCTCCTTGTCCCCCATGTGCAAAGTGGGAGCTTCTTTATTGAGCTGGTCATCAATTGAACGTCCACAGTTTGGAAAACTGATCTCAGTACATAGGGTTCCACGCAGCAGGTCACACTGATCCAGAAGAGGCTGGGGACGGGGCTGGGGTGCTGATGGAACAGGCCGTGTCCTTGGACGGAAGGGCTGTCAGGGCAGCTGCCAGCTCTGGGCGCTGTGGCTGCAGGAGCTGGCTTTTGTGACTCAGGACCCCTTCCGCTCCAGACTCCGAACCCCCGGCCGCCTCACCTTTCCCTGCCCACTGTTGTGCCCCCTTCTCCTGTTTCATTCACATTCCAGGGTGGCTGTGAGGGAGGGCCAGAGCCTAGCTGAGCTCCTGGGCACTTTAAACTGCTTAGCATGCATTTCACAGCCTCGCTGGGGCCAGCTGTTCCTTTCTCTGCTTTCGGAGCCTGTTTGCTGATCCCTTCCCCACCTCCCTCCTCTCCCCCACCCCTCCCAGTCCCTGTGCAAAATTGCTTTTGAAAAGATCCACTTTCTGCTTAATTAAACAATGAGGAGCGTCCCCTCGCACATCTGTAAACCTCCTTCTGAGGCCAGTTTAGCCCACAAACTGCTCCATTCTCACCCCCATTCACTTGTAAATGGAGCCTCTGATGTTCCCTCCACCCGCCTTCCCTCTTACTCCCCCCTTCCAGCTCTTTCTTATCCCTTTCAGTTGAGGCCTGGGGTGGGCTCCCAGAAGAGCCCTGTCTTGGAGCCTGGTGGGCTTGGTGGGGACTGGAGCAGTTTGACCTGTGGAGGAGAAGATTTGAGGGTCAGTCTCTTCAAGCCTGAAAGGGCTGTCGTGCGGAAGAGGGGACTCATTTGTTGGCCTGGTCCCTGTGGACCCAAGGCCCAGTGGGTGGGAGTGACAGGAAGGCAGGCTACGGCTTGTGAGAAGTGCTTGTCTGCAGGGAAGTTGACCACCTGTACCCGAGGCGTTGGAGAGAGGCTGCTACTGCCAGGATTCAGAGACGACTTTGAGATTGTTCCCTTTCAGCCCCTCAGAGCTGGGGTTCGCACCCTTGCGGGCCCTACCAGAGGGGCAGACGAGGACACGTCTGCGTGTAGGTGCTGTCAGAGTTGGCGTGCGGGGTGCCCCTCGCAGCAGCCTCTGGGAGTGTGTGCTGGCAGGGTGTACAGCTCTGAGCACCCTGCTACTGAGCATGTCCTGGTGGCATCTCTGCTGGGCCTGCTGCTAGCATTCGCCTGAATGCTAGGAACTCCCTTTTGAGTAGAGATTGTTCTCCTCATTTGTCAGAGGATAGATGACACCAAGACTTAGAGAGATGGAGGGACTTCCTGCACAGGCCAGCTATCACACAGTCTGGGTCCCTCTGGCTCCAAAATTGGAACTCTTAGCCACTCCTCTGCAGAGCAGCAGCTCTTGTCCCTTGCTCGTCCCCTGATGGGCAGGCCAGGTCTCAAGCTTCCTGCGCTGGAAACTTTGCCTTAGGGTACCCACCACCCTCCTCTGGTGCCAGGTGCCCACGGACAGTCTGGACTTCAGTACCCAGAGCTTTGGAATGTGATTCCTTCCATCTAGGTTGTCCTGGGAACACTGACCAACCCTGAATAGCCAAGAATCTGGAACACCTTAAATGAAGGAAGAGCAGTGTCCGGGACCCCCTCACCACTCCTATTCCTCCCATCCTTTCCTGGCTTCCGATAGGAAGATGTTGGAACCCACAGAAAACCCCAGCTGGTCTTGGCACTACCTGATTAATGGTTGACTACACCCCACTCCAAAGCTGAGGTGCCCGGCACATCAGAGGGTGCAGAGGCGACCAGTTCTTCCTTTGGGTCCCAGGCTCATTGCTGGTACTAAGCTAGGCACAGTGCCAGGAGCTTTATGTGGGTCCTCTTATTTCACCCACACCACAACCTGATGAGGTGTCCTCACCACCCCATCTATAAACAGGGAAGCCGAGGTTCATAGAATTCCTGTCCCAGGGCCTTGTAGCTAGAAGTTGGAGTAAGACCGAAAGCCAGACTGACTCCAGAGTCCATGCTCCTAACCTGTTCCTCCCTTCCAACCGCCCTCCCTCTGCGTAGGTGTGTGGTGTGGATTTTGTTTGTTTGTTTGTTTAAGATTTATTTATTTATTTGAAAAGCAGAGTTACAGAGAGATCTTCCATCCTCTGGTTCACTCCTCAAATGGCCACAACAGCCAGAGATAGTCCGGTTCAAAGCCAGAAGTCAGGAGCTTTTTCGGAATCTCCCACGTGGGTGCAGAGCCCAAGCACTTGAGCCATCTTCCGCTGCCTTCCCAGGCCATAGCAGGGAGCTGGATCGGAAGTGGAGCAGCTGGGACTTGAATTGCCACCCATAGGAGATGCCGGCGTCGCAGGCCGTGACTTGACCCGCTACGCCACAACACTGGCCCCCCACAGTTGTGTTCTGAGTGTGTGGTTCTGGACCCTCAGACCCACTCTGGCCATGGCAATGGCAGTGGTGATGCCGTACCCTTGAGCAGTCTCACTGTGCTTGGTGAGGCCGGGAAATGCGGGAGCTCAGAGGGCGCCTTGGTAAAGGCCACACCACGGGGGTTCTTGAGAAAGAAGCCCCTTCCAGAGCAGGCCCCACCTGCTGTGGCCCAGTCCGCAGCAGCCGCAGCCCAGCCTCTTGCCTTTGTTCTGCTACCTTGAACTTGCCACTTCATCCTGCCTTAGGTCTTCCCATATGCTCTTCCTTCTGGCCCCGCCCCCGCCCTCCCTTCAAGCCCGAAGAAAGACCTCTCCTGAATCCAGACAAAGGAGGCAGCGTTCATCACGATCAGTTCAATAAGTATGTCTGACTGCTGGCCTCGTGGCTCCGTGAGGGCAGGCTGTGTCCATCTCTCTCACCACCATCGCCCCAGCACGCAGTAGTTGGTCAGTAAATATTTGTCTCGTGAATAATGGGGTGGAATCCCAGGAGAGAGGCCAGCCACCCTCTGCAAGAGTGGGAAGACCGGAGAACACCTCAGAAAGGTGACAGTGACATTCCCCAGCCCCCATCTATTCCAGAGCCATCCCCAAGCCACCAGCCCCTGACTCTGCTTAACCCTTCCTCCTCCCTTGGGCGCCTTTGGAAGCCGACCATCTGGCTTGGAGCCTATTTGCATATTGTCTGGGCCTCAGCAAGCCTAGCAAGATGTCCCTGGGGGTATGTTTCAGGCCAGGCCTGCGAAGTGGTCCTTGTAGCCTGTGAAGGGAGCCCTGAGTTCCACCTCTCCCCACCCCCAGATCCAGGCATGGGGGAACAATATGGGTGGTGATGTGGTAGCATCACCATGGTAACAGGCTATCAAAAATGTGGGCAGGCCTGGGATGAGGGGCAGGCAGAGGAGGGAGGGAGTGACCTCAGCACATAAGAGCATCATGATAAATGAGCTAGCACTGGGCGGCAGACTCATCCCCCAGCAGACCCCCCGGGACTCCATGACGGTGCCATCACGTGGATGACCCCAAGGTGACCACCGGCCCTCCCCCACCCCAAGCCTATCCAGAGTGGAGCAGAAGTACTGTCCCTTTTGAGGGAGCCGGGGTTGTTCCCCAGCTGAGTCCTGGTTCTGTACGGGCCAGCCAGGGCTGTGGAGGTGCCGCCAGTGGGCCTGAGGACAGCCACTGCCCAGTTCCTCTCGCTGCCTCCACACACACAGGCACAGCCTGCCTGCCAGGGCTGGCTGATGGATGTGTCAGACCCCAGCAGCTCTATCGAGCGGCCACAAGATGTATGGGCTGGCGGCCCACCAGACAGTGCCAAGATGGAGGCAGAGGGGATTCGGAGCCAAAGGGAAGCCTCTGAAAACCGGGCCTCAGGGAGGAACGGCCAGGAGTCCAAACAGACTGCAGCTGGTTGGAGGCAGCATTCTCCCTGTCCCCTGCCTGCTCAGGACCTGCTTTGTTTAAAAGAAGGGATCCTGGTCGGGGCGCCGGATTCTGTCCCGGTGGCCCCTCTTCCAGGCCAGCCCTCTGCTATGGCCCGGGAGTGCAGTGGAGGATGGCCCAGGTCCGGGAGTGCAGTGGAGGATGGCCCAGGTCCGGGAGTGCAGTGGAGGACGGCCCAGGTCCGGGAGTGCAGTGGAGGACGGCCCAAGTGCTTGGGCCCTGCACCCCATGGGAGACCAGGAGAAGCACCTGGCTCCTGGCTTCAGATCAGCGGGATGCACTGGCCGCAGTGCGCCAGCTGCAGCAGCCATTGGAGGGTGAACCAACGGCAAAGGAAGACCTTTCTCTCTGTCTCTCTCTCACTGTCCACTCTGCCTGTAAAAAAAAAAGAAAAGAAAAAAGAAAGAAAGAAAAAAAGAAGGGACTGAGATTGAAAGGCCGCTGGTCCAGGCTATGGACTCTGCCTCTGGCCTGTACTGTGTTAATGTACAGTCCAGGGACGTTGGCCCAGAGCAGAGTGGACCAGTCCACCCAGAGCATAGCCTTCCTGCAGTCCAGTGAGTCTTCAGACCCTGCCCAAGGCCAGAGCTAGGGGTATGGGGCCTGATGGCGGCAGAGCCAGCTTTCCCCACATCCAGGCACTCCCTCCCTTGCCTGGACTTGAGGTAGGACAGCCCAAGACGGTGGCTCCCTCCTGGCTTCTCAGAGACCAGTTGTCATTCTAGGACCTGCAGCCTTCACTCCTTCCGAGGGGAGAGAGGAGATCCCAACAGCCTCAGGGGAATGGTCAGAGCAGCGGGTAGTGGCGAGCCCCTGCTCCTAAGAAAGCAGAGGTGACCCTGGGGACAGGTGGCACCGAGCCTCCACTCGCCCGAGAACCCCGAGGAGGCAGATCTCAGTGTTGAGCCGAGCAGGAGAGGCCCTTCCAACCCTAAAGCAAGTCGGCCTCCCGCGGCCAGGGGGGCCCAGGGCTCTGGAAGCAGGCAGCCCAGAGCAGCGATTTGTCAGCTCCCTTCTCTCCCTCTGCAGAGGAAATGAACTGATGCTATCAGCTCAGCGATTGTTTTCTCCCTCACAAAGGGAAATACATGCAGACCCCTCTGAGAGCAAGCCCAGTCCTCCGTCTGGGACTGGCTGGAGAGATAAAGATGACAGGGGCTCTGTGGGGCCCCTCAGAAGCCTGGCCAGCGCCGTTTCAAACCATCTTCCACGACTTGTGGGTGTGGGTCTGCCCTGAAGCCCCCTCTCACTGTCGGCCCTGAGGCCCCTGCCGCAGGACCTGCTGGGTGGTGCCAGGGCTGCTTTCTCCAGAGACCTCACTGGCAGGGCACTGGCCTCTCCTCATCCACTTCCTCACTTCAGGAATCCACAGGTTCATGGAGCGTCACAGCCTGCTCTAGAAGAGGCCCTCTGAGTCCACGTTCACTTCCCTGTGGGCCAGGCAAGGATTTCAATGGCCGGGACTCATTTGGTTGGTTTGTGGGGTTTGTTCTCTCTCTCTCTCTGACTTATTTATTTATGTATTTACAGAGAGAGAAAAACCTTCCATCTGCTGCTCCACTCCCCAGATGGCCACAGTGGGCAGGGTTGGACCAAGCTGAAGCCAGGAGCCTGGAATTCCAACCAGGTCTCCCACATGGGTGGCAGGGACCCAAATACTTGGGCCATCTTCCGCTGCTTTTCCTAGGCCATTAGCACGGAGCTGAATTGGAAGTGGAGCAGCCAGGACATGAACTGGTGCCCATACGGGATGCCGGCGTCAAAGGCTGGGAGTATGGGGCCCAGACCAGGGCAGAGCCAGCTTTTCCCACATCCAGGCAACCCTTGTTTGTGGGTTTTGCTTTGTTTTTTTTATTTGAGAGAGACAGACAGAGAGCTCACTCCCATCTGCTGGGTCACTCCCCAAATGCCTGCAGTGGCTGGAGCTGGGTAGAAGCTGAGGTCAAGATCTGGGACTCCAGGGCTGGTGCTGTGGTGTAGCGGGTAAAGCCGCCACCTGCAGTGCCCGCGTTCCGTATGGGCGCCAGTTCAAGTCCTGGCTGCCCCACTTCCGATCCAGCTGTGGCCTGGGAAAGTAGTGGAAGATGGCCTAAGTCCTTAGGCCCCTGCCACCCACGTGGGAGACCCGAGGAAGCTCCTGGCTTAGGATCGGCACGGCTCCAGCCATTGCAGCCATGGCCATTGGAGAGTAAACCATCAGATGGAAGCCCCCACTCCCCTCTCTCTGCCTCTGCTTCTCTGTAACTCTGCCTTTCAAATAAATAAATAAATATTTTAAAAGAAAAAAAAAAGATCTGGGACTCCCCCGTAGGTGGCAGGGATCCAGTTATTTGAGCTGTCACCACTGCCTCCCAGGCACGCACTGCCAGGAGCTGGAGCTGAGACTTGAACCCAGCACTCTGATGTGGGGTGCCAGCATCTTAACCATTAGGCCAAATGCCCGCCCAGCATTTTTGTTTGACAGCAGTGTGTTCTTTGCCTGTTTCTCCAGGGGACATCCGGAACCTCCTTGTCTGGATCAAGAAGAATTTGCTAAAAGAGCGGCCAGAGTTGTTCATCCAGGGAGACAGCGTGTGAGTCCCCCCGACCCCACCTAAGGAGGGAGGGATGTCTGAGCCCTGTCCCAGGTTCAGTCTCAGCCTCTCTGAGTCCTAGTTGCCCCTCTGCCCTCCCGACTCCTCAGGACAGAGCTGCTGTCCACTCTGCGTGGGGCCGATTTCCAGTCCTCCGGTTGCCACGCCAGACTGCTAGGGAGGAGAGGACCCTGGTGCACTCGTCAGAATGCTCAGACTGGGCTTTCTGGTTGCCACAGACTTGCTGTGGAACCTTGGGCCAATTACTTTGTTTCTGCGGGCCTGGGTTACTCTTCCTCCATAGAAAGCGCTAAGAGAAAGATGGCTACCCAAGGTCCCTGTTGTGCTTCCACCTGCTAGGACGGCGCTGTCCCTGGGAGCTTGCTGTGATGACACAGATGTTCTTCATCCGTGCTGTCTGCCAGCTACATGAGGCTGTTGAGCCTTTGGATTGTGGCTAGTGTGGCCAAGGAACTAAATAACCCGTTTTCCCCACTACCACCAGCCCCTTTGGGTTTTTCCTCTCTGGGAAGCCCCCGCTCCGTGCCGCTCTGGCTGGAGGTTTTTGACTTTAATAAACCTTGCTTTTTAAATATAAAAATAAGAATAATATAACAATCCATTTTATTCCACTCTAATTTAAATAGCCACATGTAATTAGTAGGTCCTGTGTGGGACAGCACAGGTCTAAGATTTCAGGTCACATGTGCAGACATGTACATGTGTGTGGGTACACATATAAATGCTGAGAACACCCTAGAGAGGCCCAAGCCTGTGCCTGTCCCAGGCTCAACCCGTCTCCTAGCAAAGGACCAGTTCCATGTTCCAAGAAGTCACTTTTTTTTTTAAGATTTTTTATTTATATATATATGTATGTGTGTGTGTGTGTGTGTGTGTATATGAAGATTTTATTTATTTATTTGAGAGGTAGAATTACAGACAGAGAGTGAGAGACAGAGAGAAAAGTCTTCCTTCCGCTGGTTCACTCCCCAAATGGCTGCAATGTCTCGAGCCAGGCCGATCCAGAGCCAGGAGCCAGGAGCTTCTTCCAGGTCTCCCACGCGGGTGCAGGGGCCCAAATACATGGGCCATCTTCTACTGCTTTCCCAGGTCATAGCAGAGAGCTGGATCGGAAGTGGAGCAGCTGGGACTCGAAACAGTGCACATATGGGATGCTGGCACCACAGGCAAAGGATTAACCCACTGTGCCACAGCGCCAGCCCCAAGATTTATTTATTTTTATGTGAGAAACAGAGTTATAGACAGAGGGAGGGAAAGACAGAGAGAAAAGTCTTCCATTTGCTGGCTCACTCCCCAAATGTCCACAATGGCCAGAGCTGGGCCAGTCCAAAGCCAGGAACCAGGAGCTTCTTCCAGGTCTTCCGCATGGGTGCTAGAGCCCAAGCACTTGGGCCATCTTCCACTGCTTTCCTAGGCCATTAGCAGGGAGCTAGATTGGAAGTGCAGCATCTGGGACCCGAACCCACACCCATATGGGATGCTGGTGGCGCAGGTGGAGGCTTAACCTGCTACACCACAGAGCCGGCCCCAGTCACTTTACTTTAATCCAGGCCAACCTCCCATGCCAAAGACATGGGCAGCACCATGTGAGGCTTGTTTAAGTGCCTCGAAGCACAAGTCACCACCACCCCTGGTCCAGGTCATTCAGCAGCAGTTGTGGAGGGCGTCCCCAAGGGCAGCGGTGTTTCCGGGGTCACCACCAGGAGGCGGCAGTTGGAGCTGTCCAGATGTTGGCGTTCCTTGCCTGGTCGGGTGGGACTGCTGTTAGGATTCCCGTGCACAGTCCTACTGGCAACCTCCCCTGACCCTAGAAAGCCGAGACAGCCTCCTGTCCAGGACGGGCGTGTGGGAGGCCTGGAAGCCCAAGTGTGCTTCCTTCCAGGGCACAGGAGAGGAGGATTAGACCTGGAAAAGTACTGCTGGATCCGTGACAGCGTGACAGGCCCATCCTTCATCCATCTCCTGTCAGTTCTTCCTGTGGCAGACCTGGGGGCCAGCCGCTGTAACTTAACCTTGTTCTCAGCTGGGGAGATGGATGTTCAGTGGAACAAAATGACTTGCCTGAGGTTGGGGGGGGGGTGCTGGCATTTGCACCCACTTCCTGCAAGACCTTTTTGTTTAATTATCTTGAAAGGCAGAGAGTCAGAGATCTCCTCTCCGCTGGTTCACTCCCAAGGGTGCACAACAGTTGAGACTGGGCTAGGCCAAAGCCAGGAGTCAGGAGCTCCATCCTGCTCACCTGTGTGGTCATCGGCTGCCTCCCAGGGTGGGCACTGGGAGTTGAACCCACACACTCTAAATGGGATGGGGGGGTCTCCCAAGCAGTGTCAACCATTGTGCTAAATGCTGACCCCTCCTGAGTGATGCTCACCAGAGTGGGTGGGGGGGAGCTGCTACCACACCCTGCTGCCTCCCCCCCGCTACTCACTGCCGTCTTTCCTCCAGGCGGCCAGGAATTCTGGTGCTGGTTAACGACGCCGACTGGGAGCTGCTGGTCAGTATGTCGGGGACCTTCCCCCCCAGGCCCTGCCCTTGCTGCTTCAGCAGGAAAGTGTCAGGTCACCCCTCAGGCAGAGAGTGTGGCTGGATAATCCTCTGGCTCACTCTGGTCCCCAGACGAAGGCTACTCAAGTCTCACACCCAAAGGGAGAAGGGGATCTGTAGCTCCTCCACCCTGGGATTTGCAAGTTGATGGGGGGAGTAGCCAGCCTTCCTTGTCCTCTGCCAACATCTGGGGAGACACGGAACATGTCGTGATGGTCTCCTGCCCCTCTCTCTCCTGCCCCAGGGTGAGCTGGACTACCAGCTGCAGGACCAGGACAACATCCTCTTCATCTCCACGCTGCATGGCGGCTGAGGACCCCTCTCTGAGCCTGGGCAGCCCCGGGGGGCAGGGAGGGAACAAGCAGACATCCCCTTGGGCCCTGCTTCCAGGTCTCCCTGTCACCCTTGGCTGCCTTCTTCCCTGCCCTATCCCCCAGACTCCCTCCAGGCAGGGAAAAGAGGCCAGGTGCTAAAAATGAGCCTTTCCCAGGCACGTGAGCGGGGAAGGGCAGACAGGCGCCCGAGCTGAGCACTCCCTCCGGCAGCTGAGGTGGGGGAGGTGTCTCTCTGGTGTGTCAGAAGTAAAACAGCCCCCACAGCCAGGTGACCGGCTGCCTTCCATTCCTGTCTCGTACACACGGAGTTCAGCTGCCAAGGCGCTCCAGCTCCTGGGCCGCAGTGGCTTCCTGGGGAAGATGAATGGACCTGGACGGCTGATGGGAGGCCCCTCCCTTCTCAAAGATTGGAGGAGTCTCCGCCTCAGTTTCCCCATCTGGACAGCCGAGGACTCTGCCTGTTCCCCACTGGTGTCATTATGGAACCCCAGCTGGGGTCCCCTATTCAGTGCTAACCCCTCCCCCCCACCCAGCAGCTGCTCTCCCAGGCAGATCCCTCCTCCTGCTCCCCCCACCCCCAGCCAGCCCTTGACCCTGGCTGGCCTCCCCCCTACACATAGGCCACCAGATGGGCTCCTGAGACTCTCCCCAGGCTCCCTACAGCTCATTCTACTGGGCTGGAAAGGGGGAGGGAGCCTAACCTTGGCCTGACAGGCAGGGGCTGGACTGGGGAGAGTGCCATGTGCCTCAGCTTCCTTTTTAACAGCTGATACTTGTAGCATCTGAACACTGGGAGATGCTTGATGGCACAGACCTTATCTCCCCTCTCCCCTCCTGAGGGGAGCAGGCAGCACCTGGTAGGCAGTGTTTTGCCCTTCCTCCCGCCATCCCTTCTGGAGGTCTTGGAGCCTCAGTGCTCACAGCTGCCCTTGGGCAAATAAAAGACTAGCCTTGCTTGGGCCACCCACTACCCCCCAGCCCTGGTCTTGTGTTCAGTTTCTGTCTTCAGGGCTCTCTCAGCTTCCCTTCACCCAGGAGGGGACGAGGGAGTCGAATTCAGACTGTCTGAGAAGGGGTGATCTGGTAAGACCGTCTGGAGGAGGAGGTGGCAGGGCTGTGTGTGCTGACCAGCCTGGGGCCCAGGATTCATCCCCACCCATCTGTGCAAGAACAGGCTTTGTCCCACCAGCTGCAGCCACGGCCCCATGGCCCAGGATGGGGGTGGCCTAGACAGTGCTGTGAACCCTCTGCCTTCCCCTGACTGGAGAGGAGCTTTGTGTGCCAGACCCCAGAAAGAATGAGAGACCCCAGAAAGAATGAGAGTGCTGGCGTCATCCCACCCAGAACACTGCCAGCAGTTTGAGAATTTCTCACTCTGCGGCGTGAAAGGGCCAAATGGTTGTTCTGACAGGTTTTGGGGTGGGCTGAGGGGGTACCTCATTCTCTCAGCATCTAGATGATACCCTGGCTTGTGGGCGTTTCTCCAGCCCTGCTGTGGGTGGAGGCTTTCTGGGCATGTGTATGAGTGGGAGCAGCCACGTTGGGCTTAGGGGTAGGAACTGGTCTGGGTGCAAATTAAGGCCAGTTAGGCTCCCAGAGCTGTCCAGAGAGGCTTGTGACCAACCCTCAGTGCTGAGGTCAAGGTCTCCATGTTAGGGACTGGAAATGACCCCTAGAGCCTCACTTTCAGAGGGTCGGGCTATCTTGGTTCTCGTAACCTGGAGATACCTCCCGGCCTCCAGTCCCCTGAGCTACAGGAGTGGCCCAGTGGCCCAGCCAGGATTCCAGATCCTGAAGGCTGGGTTCTAGGACTCCTTCTTCTGCCTACACGGGTCAGAGTGATGGGTGCAGGGTATTGCTGCCCCCACTACATCCCAGTTAATGATGACATGTGGAGCAGGAGTACCTGCTGGGAGAAACCTGCCCTCCACAGGGTGGAGATGGGAGCACCAGGATGGAAATTGGCCAGGGCCAAGGCACTCCATGCTATTTTGGGTCATTTTCAGCCCAGAGCCAGAACGGGGTCAGAGATGTGTCTCAGCCCCAGCAACTCCCAATTGTCCCCCGCCCAAGCAACTCCTGACCCTCACTTTTGAGGAAATAAATGAATAAATAAACCCCACCATCTCCGATGATTTTTCTTTAATGAAAAGGATTCATTTGTCCAGGTTCTACTTCCAAAGCCCAGGCGTGGCAGGAGCGCAGCATTCCCAAGCTTCTCCGACTGCAGCGGTTGGAGGAGGCTCAGCCCATGCGCCCGCCCGGAGGGGCTGGCGGGAGGGGTAGATGGTTTGTTCGGGATTTAGAGGTTGGTTTAGAGATTTTTGTTGTTGTTGGGAATTGGTCGGGGGTGGATTAGGACAAATTCAAAACGAGTTAGGGAGAGTACATCCCGCCGGCGTCATCTTCTTTCACTCCTGGCTTCCTGCTGCTGGGGCCGAGGGCGGGCTCCCTGGACCACATTCGGGTTCGTTCCGGCCAAAATTTGAAAGGGGGGAAAACCTGAAGCGATCGATCGACTGGAGGACCCCGCCAGCTGAAACCAGTCACCCGCAGATGAGGAGGACGGAGGATGAGGATGGCGGCGCAGGTGCTAGGACCAGCCTCTCGGTTGCGCTGGGCCGGGCGGGCCGGGGCCAGCCAGCCAGCCGGTCGCCGCTCCGAGGGTTCTCGCCCGTGCTGAGCGCTGTTCCTGCAGCCCCCGACCCTGCTGTGCCCAGAGCTCAGCCACAGATGTCCAGCCACAATTCTCGGTTGGCCGCAGACTCGTACAAGAATTGCGTTTGGACAATCAGTGGCGAAGCCCCTGAGTTCAGGGCCCCAGCTTCTTGCGGGGTTCCGCTTCGCTCCTCAGAAGCACCTGGACCAGATCTCCGGAGCTGCGCGTCGGAATAGCTGGCAGATGCTCAGCGGTCGGCCCATCCCGCGGTAAGGTGGACGAGCAGGCACGCGGGTCCCGACCCTGCACGGGCATCCCCACCGCCCCTGGCGTGTTTCCTCCTACCGCGGTCCCGGGTCCCTGGAGTAGCCTGCACTGGGTCTCTGCGCCGCCCCAGGTCGGGGGAATCGCCTCTCAGACCCAGGGAACCCCGACACCCCTCTCCCCGCCCCCAGCCAGAGCTTCCCGGGAATCCGGAAAGCAAGGGCCGGAGGCCAGGTCGCGTTTCTGAGCCGGGGGTCCGGGCTGCAGGATTCCTGCTCCCCCCTACCCCCCGCGCAACGCCCAGCCCCGCGCACGCACCGGCTTGGGCGCTCTCTGCTTCCCTGTGGCTGAGTCGCGGCCGGGGCGCCGGCGGTAGCGACGGCGGGCGGCGGGGAGCGGTGGAATGCGCCGCCGGGTCACCTGCAGCGCCCGGGGAGCCGGACTGGGAGCCGGCGGGCTGGCGAGGCGCAGGGCTGCACCCGAGCGGGCGCCTCTGGCGGCTCCGGGCCGGGGCGGGCTTTTAGTGGGCCGCTCCAACAATACGGGCCTGGCGCGGAGAAAGGGGCTCGGCTGCAATTGGTACTGGATTTGAATAACGCCACGGGGCCATCAATGGTCATTGTGTCGGTGGGTAATGAATCTCCGCTGTCTCTCGGGCTGGCCAGGCAGCTGCAACCTGCGCTCAGGCAGCTCTTAAAGACATAGCGTGCCCCTCCCCAGGGGCCGGCCCCCTCCCTGCACCGTCGGACCCCTCATCCTCCCACCCCCACCCAGCGCCCTCAGCTCCGGATGCCCCGCCTGCTCCCTGGGCCTGACCCCTTTGCCCATGGCCCCCTCCCTCCTGGGCCAGGCACCCACATCTCCACCCTGCGCTCCCCTGGACCTGACTCAGGCCCTGGCCTTGGCTGAGCTCTCCAGGAGTGCCCCGGGAGCCCCAGGGACCTTAAGGCCCACCCTCTGCCTCCTGGCTACATCTAAAACCCTGTGGCCTCTGGAGCCCTGCCTCCTTAGCTCCTGCTCAGGGGCTTCTAGCTGGAGGGTGAGGGGGAGAGTGGGAGTCGGAGGGCCACCCGGTCAGAAGGTTGTGCTTGCAGGATGAGGAAGGAGGGGTGCCCGTCTCCAGAGATCACACCCACGAGGGATGGGGAGGTCCCCTCCCCCACCCGGGACAGAGCTTGCTTCCAGGCTTCTGCAGGCTCCTGGATAGCTGGGCTCCAGCAGCAGTGGGGGAGCAGGCGGGTGGGACAGGGGCGTGGGCTGTGTTAGTGCTTGTCTCCTCCATGGGGCAGTCACCCACCCGAGAGAGCAGGGGGCTGTGTGGAAGGTCTAATGCACCCCACCCCTGTTTTGGCCCCATCTGACACAGAGACAGTTCTCAGTCTCCTGCGTGAATGTTTGCCCAGTTTCTCATGCCCATAGCTCAGCCTTTCCCGATGAGTATGCACCCATAGGGAGAATGTGTGGCCACTCTTCCCAAACACCCTGCCCTCCATCCAGCCCCAGAGCACCTCTCCCGCTACCCTGCCCTGCCCTGTCCTTGCCACTTGCAGGGCTGACCTGTGATGATCCGTCTGTCCGACCCTCCTCACTGGGTCCTCCCGGCCATCATTAAGTGCCTGGGTGTTTGCATGCAT